CCATGACATTATTTTAATATTCTTGAAAGTTTTGGATTGTTTTGTGCTAGATCGGCTGCAGTCTTTTATATGTCTGGCATTAACACCCATTGACATAATTGATTTATTTATAATCTAAACCAGATGTACATGTAATACTGTTCATTTATTAGATCTTAATGATATGAAGGATGGAAATCATTTCATTTTGAAATAAATTTGTAGATTGGTTCATCATTTTCAATTGTCTTAATTGCGTTATTAACATTTGCTGCAACAAAAAATTTGACATTTTTCTTCCACACCTATATATATGGTTCACTTGCAGCTTGTTCAGCTGTCTCCGTTGCTGTAAAACAGGTAAGAGCAATTGTAATTTTAAAGAACTATCCTAAAATTGATGCTTGCATCAGTAAATCATCAACTTTTAAATGACTGTTTTATTATCCGAACTACTGCATATTACTTTATTACTGTAAATTACGATATTTTGTAATTATACATCAATCTTGTAAATTTTCTTATTTTCGTGGTATTGAAGTCGCCAATGTTTTGCTTTTCGAAGTTCAATATCTTTTATAGTATTTACCGGATTGGGTTCTACTAAGCATACCGATTGGAAGAATCAAGAATACTCATCTTCCAGCTTGCATATTTTTTGCCTCATCGATTTTGGTTTTGTTCAATCTTCTTCGTATGGTATCATTACTTCAAATCTTACTTGGTATTCAAATTAGTTGGATGTACTTGCGTTTTTTGCAACCACATGGAGATGCAGAACCGAGAGGTGATGCAAATGAACATTTCGCATGGGAAACGTATGCCGTTTAATTTTTTCTAGTTGCATGTTATTTCACTCATATTTTTCTGAAGCAATTTTTTAATTAGTCATATAGTGAAACAGTTATCTCTAAGATAATGTAATGGAAGAAGGAATTTCAATGGTTTTGTAAACTATTGTGTGAATGTTTCCATTCTATTTTTATTTTTCAGTCTCTTTCCTTCGAAGTTACAACCGTTTATGAGAGTTTTATCTTCAACAGCATATTCATGTTTAATAAAAACACATTTCTGTAAACCAATGGCGAGGCATATCGATCTGTCTCATCTAGATTCTTTGAGTGTAATTATTCCTAATTTGCAATCTAAAGATACAGAAAGAAGGCGGTTAGTTTCAAAAATTCATTTGTTTGGTATTCTTTCTCTAATCCAATTTCTATAACATAAATGTGTTATTAAAGAGATTTTTGAGAGTTCATAATGATGAAATAATTAAGGCAGAAAGCACTACGTGATTTGACCGAACGTTTGAATCGAGTTCAGCGAGCTGAACTTGCTGTATGGCCAGAGATGGATGACATTAGTGGATGTAGTGTAGCGGAAGATATTGAGAATAAAATGGAGCAGAAGGAGAAAACAGAAGTACAAAGTCCTGTAAGTTATAAACTTTTTGTTTTGGTTTTATATATTTTGATGAAGTAACATGTTGTAGACTTCAGTACTTTATTGTAAAAAGTCTCTATGTGAGCAATGCATACACAATCTCATAATTCTGTTATTTGAAATAAATTTTATTCTTTGCGAATAATTGCTATAAATAATGCTCGTATTCATTACGCTGCAGTTTGATTTGTAATTTACGTATATCATGCAAGTTCATTCCTTAATTTTTTTGATTGAATACGCAGTTTCACGGAAGTTTTGTGTTCTAGGTACACTGCACTGAAGTAATCGATATTCCTAGTGAAACGAAAGTATCAGTATGAAGTAGATGCATTTTTACAGACTCATTCGTGCTCACTTTGAAGTTTTGAAATAGTGATGGAGATTTTAGATGATTGCTTGTGTTATATCTCATCAGTAACGAAATTATTCTCTATTCTTTCATATTAAATTTTGAAGTGTAGAACAGAAATTTGTACATTGTAACTGTAGAAAGCAATGGAAATCGGTACTCAGTCATGCTGAATTGTTTCCAAATAGTTTTTCGATTGACATTTTAAAAAAGAAAAATGAATTAGTCAATTTTTAGCGTTAGAAGTATTACATTTTAGCTTATGTTAATCATTTAGTTGAGAACAGTTTGTCTGGCTTAGGGAACGAAATATTATTCATTCTGAGATGCTTACACGTGTTTGAATCGTAAAAACTCGTCTCTTTATGACGCTAATTCTGCATAAAATATTTCCAGACTTTTGTAAGCTTGGGCAGTATACATGCGATTTGTGTTACATTCTGGACAACAACATCGACTTGAAACCTATATTTTATTTCTTTACCCTTGTTCGTATTGTACATATATGTGCATATTCATATTTATCATGTGTAAATGAATGTAATTTTTATTGATAAATCTAAATGTTATTTCGAAATTTCAATTAGCGTAGTAGTGTGAGAACTTTCTGAACATCATATTGTATTAAGTCTTATCAGTATTGTAACGTGTGTTAGCCAGTGATATTAAAACGCTGTCAGGGATGAAAAGTGAAATGTAACAATTTGCACATGGTTTATCTTATGTATGTGGTGTGATTGTGTTGATGTGAAAGCTATGAAAACAAGTGATGCCAATGCCATGGGATCAGAAAAGCGATCCTTTCCATTTGAGGGAAGTTTCTCACTTGCATGACGATTTCAAGTGAATCGTTGTAGTCTATAAAAGTATGAATCAGTAATTGATTTAAGATAATTGGAAGTGTATTTCAATTTTTTTTTGTGAAGATAATTTCAGAATTGTATTTATACAAAAATATATGCAATACCAGATCTCAATAATTTAATATTCGTTAATTTGTTTTGTACTCAAAATAACAATTTATTTAAAAGTTATGTAATCAGAGTTATGATTGGAAGTATTGTACTCTTAGCACTGATGCTTTTTAAAACTAAAATATTTTGTGCAGTATTATTACATACGTTATGAAGCAGAAGGATTTTGCCAGCACTTCACTTTACCCATTTCTTAAACTCTCATCGATTATAAAAGCAAAGAAATTTAGAGTGAAAAAAATAAGTATGCAAGTCTAGCACTTACTTCCTAGCTTTTCCAGAAAGCTGAAGTGAATTTGTGCGGTGCATTTTATCAAACAAACAAGGCAATATGAGCATGCAAATACTACCTATCTATCTATCTATCTATTTATTTATCTAACTAACTAACTATCTATCTATCTATCTTCTATCCATCTATTTATATAGCCAAGCTAACTAACTTGTCTGCTTGGTTGGTCCTCATGCCTTGTCATGTGCTCTCCATGCGTCCTTATATGCGTACTTCTTTCCGAACAGAGTACTCCGAATGCGTCGCACGAATTTGCTTTAGCTTTGCCTCCGACTTGTTTTTTTCTTATTTTACAAGTTTGCATCACATCATTTCCATTATTGTTCTCATTCTTCTCATTATTATTACCATTAGTCTTGCATATCTTTTTTGGCTTACATATCAAATGTTAAATTATAACTGCAAAAATAATCTCACTTCTACTTTTGTTATTACACTTTTACTGTTATTATTTTTGTTTGCAAGCAGAACTTTTCACGTCATCTAACCTTATACATTTTTTTGAATTGTTCCTTACAGTTTAACAAATTCAATTCATTCAATACCAGTACTACTTAAGTATAATTATTTACAAGCAGTACAGTTTGCTGCTAAAATCAATCTTATTACTAATTTGTAAATTTTTTTCTCTCACTGGAAATAACTACTTTATGTTTTAGTAAATTTGCTTAACGATTATAGTGCAGTTAGCTACACTTTGCTACAACTTGGCAATGGCAATTAACACCAGAATTAATAATGTTTTTTTCAAATAATCTAGTACTGAATACTAAGAATAACTAAAAATATGCTTTGTTGCAGTTTCTAAAATTATTCTTTCATTTCATTTGTAAGACTCTATAATCTCTCCACTTTATTCGTTAATGCAAGATTATGAGCAAAAAAAAAAGAGAAATAGTATAATCACTTTCTTAAACCGATTATAACGAATTTTGCAAAGTTTCAGTATGACGTTTTTTCTAACTCCAATTGATAGTTTATTATTATTTTTTGGTTCATCAACAGGTTCACATAGAAAACGCTTGCGAATACTTGACTTTAATTACCACTTCTCATAATACAAAAATAATGAATTGTTACTTGAAATATACAGTTTTATGTCTTTTTTAATTTTATTACGTATTTTTCGAATTAAAATTGAAAATTGGAATAGCCATTAATTTTAATTGTAGCAGAAAAAATTCCTATTACTATGAATAAAATCTTGCAACACTAAGTCATTGTAAGCTCACAGTTTATGCTGATTTATTTTTTGCAAAACTCATCTTTACGCACGTTCATTATTAACCATTCATGCATATTCACACATGTCCATGCACACACGCACACACACACACACAACGCATATTAACTTATTGTAAATTTTGTAATATTCATTTTCATTAATAAACAAGTCTTATTACCCTACTTAACAAAGTCAATTACAACAAAGCACTTTCACATTTCAGCTTAGAAGAAAGTTTTGACCAGGAAGTGTAATTGAAAGCAACTGAATGTTTCTGGTAATTTTAGTTACTACCTAGAATTGTGTGTACGTTAAAAGAGAAATTTTGAAACTGAAAGATATGAAAAATAAAAAATCTGATTAAATTCAGGCGTTAAGTACTTTTTTATGTCTATCTGCCATCCTTTTTTGCTGCATAAAATTTGAATTTAAAGGTTAAAGTCAGAAATGTCTGAATATATTTGTCATCAAAAAGCTGTAAAAAATATAAGGCAATGTCAGTTAGCTGACCATGATTAGTTTTTAATCATTAAATACTACCCTATAGTATATAATATTTGAAAAATGAAGTGTCATATACAATTATTAAATTTTGGTTTTTTAAAATTAATACTTGTTGTTTAGTTTTTATTCACATGTGAATTTGTTTTTATGCAAGTTTTTATTCAGTTTTTAATTTCCTTTTTGTTTCTATTTTTATGTAACATTTTGCATTTGTATGTAAAAAATAAAAAATTTTAGTAGATTATTGTTGATATTTATTTTGCTGTTTATTGTAAAAAATTGTTACATTTATCAAGGTTTCTCTTTAATAAATTACAAAATAATCTCGTGAAATATTTTTGATACTACGATGCTACATAATTCCATTGCAATTTAGAACAAGGAAAGCTTTTTAAAACTCATATATATATATGTGAAAAAGATTGAGTTAATCAGCTTCTAATTAAATTCTTTTACATTTTAAAGGTAATTAATAGAATTGTATTTTTGAAAAGCAATCCTGAATAATCCATCCAATACTTGCAACAGCTGTCACTCGTTATTCTGAGTATAGGTTTGAATATCATGCATTATTATGAAGAAAATAGTTCAGTATTATTAAACATTAGTGATAAAATTCATATGAGAAAATTAATTCATAAATTTGTTTTTTTTTTCATTCTAAATATATTTGATAATTTTATATTCGTTAAAATTAAAAGCTAGTAGTGCTGCTAATTTTTTGCTAGAATAAGTTTTTAGTAAATTAATACTTATTGACCGTGAAAAATTTTTGAGTAAATCAGTTTTTTGATATGCTCGATTACATTTAATAAATTGGTTTATCTGTCAGGTTTTCTTAAAGTTCAATTTTTACTTATATTATGCAAAAAATAATTTCGTTTAATCAAAATATCTCAAAATTTTTAATTAATCAAAGTATTCATTTTTTGCTCGGAAAAAAAAATTGGTGTCCAATCAGTAATTCTTTACTTCTATCTTTTCTGTTTTTTGCTAGTTTTCTCCCCATTTTTGCTAACATTTAAATTAAGCTTTTGTCATAATTTTTAAATGAAACATAATGGTACTACTATTCTGTAATTAAATCAAGTAATTACTTACGTTTGCATTTGGTATTATTTTCGTAAACAAATTACAATTTTTAATGAATTTGGTATTTTATTAGATGGATAATAGGAACAAAGAGCTTTGCCCACGCTTGATGGACTATTTGGTAAGTTTCTTTTTCCTCTTGACTGATCCAAAATTAAAACATTCGATTCTTATTGCCAACATTCATTTTAAAGAAAAAACTTTTGTGCATAAAACTTATTAGTAGTATTTTATTGTAACAAGCGGAAAAAATGCACACTAAAATCATAAAATTATTCATGAATTTAAACGTTTAAAATGGATAATATTTTAAATTCATGAAATAATAACTCAGTGATGTGCACTGAATTTGTGTGATTTTATATCATTTTATTACATTGAATCCTTATGAGTTTGAATATGAAATGGTTAAGTATTTAATAGTTGTACTTTTTTTTTTTAACCTTGACAATTTGTTCATTATTTGGACAAATTTAGTTTTCAATTAAGACAGTGGTATGGAAAGAATTTCAATTTGAATATGTATATTAAAGAAAATAAATGAAAGGAATATAAAAATTTTCAGGTGATAATTGGCCGACGTCGTTGCAAAAATTTATCTCGTACAAATAATCATGATAGCACTGTATCTTCAACTGCGCATACGGTGACAACACCTGAATTACTCAGACGTTATCCAGCGAAGGATCATAAAGATTTCAGTTTACCAGCTGATGTTACTGTATTTTGCCAACCTGAAGGATGCGCAATGAGGGGTTTATTCTTAGTTATAATTGCATTTATTATCAGATTTATAAATTAACATAATTTTATTATTGCAAATTGCAACCAGAAAATCACAGAAATATGTATACATAAAACAGTATTCATTATGATTTTTTCGTTTAAGTTTTGAAAATGAATAAGTAACTATTTTGTATCATAATCTTCCTTAAAATGTTTATTGTGCATAAGTTTAAATTGCTTTTTATAGGATTACGTCAAAATTTGCGATCTCACAATGAAATAAGCAGTTTTGTTTTTACGTTAACTGAGAAAGATTCTGCGAAAATTCGTTACGGAATATGTTTGAATTTTTTACAAAATTATGAACGAAATCATTCCATTTCTGCTGATGGCAAAAACAGTTCTGTTATTAATTCTAATAAAAGGTTTATATTTGTTGTATTTAGCTATAATTTTCGTGATCTGAGAGATGTAGTTTACTTATTCATAATATTAAGAGAGTAATAATGTAAGCTTCTATTTGTTTGCAATACAGGAAAGATATAGTATTAATGGTAGGAGATATGATTACAAACTTACTGATTAATTTTCGAAATGTAATTTCAAAGTAACAAATTTGCAGTTATTATTATAGATTGGATAAGAAGCATTCATTAACGAGTTTGTGCATAATAAGCCATCATCCATTTCTTTCAACATTTCGGGAATTATTGCTGTTGCTGAAAAGGTTGATTGATGGATGCAGTCAGCGGCTTAGTGACGATGGACAATTTTCAAAGTAATTTTTACTTTTTTATTTCTTGCGATGATTTATTAATTTCTATTGAATATGATATTTTTTGTGTATTTTTAAAAAATTTTTTGGCTTAATTTGTTTTTTTGGGAAAGTATATATTCTAATTTAAAGTAAGAAAGTAATAATCATATTGTTATGATACAATATATCACTATTGCACAAATTACTCAGTGTACTATTAAGCCAGACTAGTTTGAAGTTCAATGTCAACATAAAGAGAGTACATTAAAAGTAATAAATTTTTGTATGTATGCTGAAAAAAAGCAAAGTACTTTTTAGGGATGTAATTTGGGCATTACTTATGGGTTTTTGGATAGAATCAGTTTCACCAAGAGTAATGCAAGACATTCGAGAACTAGAAACATGGATTCTGATGTTGCTAAGTGCACCAGTACCAATTCCAGGGAAAACGAAACTACTTTTAGAAGTCCAGATTTTTTTTTTCATCTATATTTTTGTCTGCAGCTTATTCTTTTTAGTTTTAAATTAATTTTTAAAATAAATATATGCCATTGATTGTTTGACAAAAATTTTACCACTTTTCTTTCAATTAATTAAAATTTATTTCAACTGTTATTAATTAAATAGTTTTTAGGTATTACCAATGAATGTTTCGCAGGCTTTTGAATTTGCTCTTCCTGACCATACAAGATTTTCATTTGTTGATTTTCCTTTACATCTACCCTTTGAACTTTTGGGAATCGATACAACTATTAAAGTAATGGCTGCTCTTATGCTTGAATCAAAGGTACAAAATATTTAACATATTAAATTCTGAATGTAATTTATAACTCAAATTTGGTTAAATTAGAAAGATCAGTTTTTTCTTGATTCTAACTTATCCATATGAATAATTTATTAATATAAATAGTATACAATTTAGGATAAATAATTTTTTCTCAGGTCGTTTTGCAATCACGCAATTATAACGCGGTTAGTATGTGCGTTTTAGCTATGGTTGCACTGATGTATCCATTAAATTACATGTTTCCAGTGATACCTTTGCTTCCTTCTTTCATGCCATCAGCAGAACAAGTATTTTAATTTTGATTACTATTTTATGGTAAACGAAATTAAATTATTGCATATCATGCATTAACTTATACGGCACTTAACATGTCAAGTATTACTTTTATGGGAATAAAAGCTGTATTCACTTTGATAATGTCAATGATTTAGATCACTATGCAGTTTTTATTTATGAATCCTAACAATTTTTGGTTTTTTCACATTTTAAACAATTTTTTATAAATTGATATAGTGTGAATGAAAAATCATTTAATAACTAAATAAATTACTTTAAAAAATAGCAAAATATTATTTCATATTTAAAAGAGCGAAGAACTAATTCCTTTTTTAAATTACATGTTTCCAGTGATACCTTTGCTTCCTTCTTTCTTTGATAATTTCAAAATTATATTTAAAATATTTTCTTGTAAACTTTCTTATAAGTTTAATAAATGTCGCTATTTTATTAAAGCAACTTTCATTGCTTAAATTTTTTTTAAATCTTAGAGGACCAAATGAATGTGCGCTCTTGTATCATAAATTATTATTTCAGATGTTTTGAATTTGTTATATTTCAGTTACTCTATGCACCAACACCGTTTTTAATTGGCGTGCCAGCTTCATTTTTTGCTCACAAAGCTATTGATATACCAGATGATGTGATAATTGTTGATTTGGATACTAACCGATTAATAATACCAGATGAAATCAACATTCTTGATATGCCAGAGCCAGACTGCACTGAACTAAAAGTTTGTCGATGATAATCAAAATTAATATTTAACTACTATTGTAATATCCATTTTTTTGTTCTTTTTTTGATAATAATCATTTGTATAAGTAGTTGTTTTCAGAATAGTTTGCGTCAATCATTAAATAAGTTATTGACAATTATGCCTCAAGTAGAAGCAGATAATGAAGGAAACAGTATTCAAAATTTTACTGTGGATAGTGATGTTGTTGATATTGCAATTCGTGTAGCTATGGTTTGTTTTTATGCTAATTTAAATGGTGTTTTGAAAGGATTATTTTGGCCAAATCAAAACTTAATATATTTTTAGATTCGTTTTTTCAACAGTCCAAATGTGTTTGCAAACTTTAGTGAACATACACGTACGTTACGTCTTTACCCTCGTCCAGTTGTTGCGCTTCAGACAGAATCATTTTTACGCAGTCGTCCACAGTTCACGCAATTTATTTCTGAACTTTGCAAGTGAATCATATAAAATTTTATATTCAAAATCAGAATATAAAATCGTTTTATACTGTTAGAATTAAAATGTAATATGACGTATTTGAATTTTCGTAATGCAGGAATTTAAATAAATTTAGGAAAGACTTTTCTGATTTCGAGCATGTTGTATATTTTAGAACCCAAGCAGTTGAATACTTTGCTGAATGTTCTTTATGCCCAAATAATGAAACATACGTACGAGTTCAAGCTGGAACAGATGATCCTCTTCAAATTGGTGATAAAGGGAAATGGTTTAGTGACTCATTGATGCCTATCCATTTTACGGTTTCTTCACTGTTTATTTTTCGATAAAAATATGAAAATATGACAAGGATAAAGGAACAAATGTCCATTATTATTATAAACAATCTTCATTTATACAAGCATAAGTAAAAATTATTAAAAGCTATGTGAAAGAAATATTCAAACATGAATAAGCAAAATTAATTAAATAACTTTTAATTCATTGTAATAACAGTTTTTTTCTTCTTTACATGTATATCAAAATGATTCAACTCTTGTTGATGCATGGCAAAGAGTAGCAAATGAAAGACGAAGCAGTATTGCATCCAATGGTAATGTTTCCTCTATATTTTTAATCAAATAATGCTATAAATCCAGTTAAAGTTTGATAGGATTAATTTTGTTAAAATATAGATGTAATTATCAAATAATAAATGAAATTGAAATGACTTATTATCCTATCAATGATAAAATGATAATATTACCAAATATTTTTATGCAAATAAAATATATGGCAGATTCAAACTGTGAAGTAAGTGATGCCGGCAATACCGATCTAGAAAGTTGTTCAAGTACTGATGATTTTTTATTCGATACAGTTGATCAACCAGAAATTACAATGAGTATGATAATATATCTGTTATTATTTTTGTTATTATTTAACCAAAGTATTTGGCACCAATATTTATCTATTTATTAAAATTTTATTAAATTAAATTTTATTAATTGAATTGAACTAATTTAGCTTTAACATGCATTTCTGGGCAAATTTTCACAACAGCTTCAACTTTAATATTATTTTTTATTAATATTATTTGAAAAATTTTTTTTATTAGTAAAAGTAAGATCCATGCAATATTAATCACTGTAAAAGATTAAGGTAGTTCAATCAAGTTTTTGAGTAACAATGTATATAATTGTTTTTTCTTATTTGTTTTATTTTGGTATTAACATAATTGTTGTATTCATCTTCAGAGTATAAAGGTATTTAAAAACTAAAAAGTATTGTCATCAGACTTCACTATTGAATTTTCAATTTCTGTATTCATTTTTGTTTGTTGATATATTTATTTGCTTTTATTATCTGTTATTATTGTAATCAAATATTTTGAGTAATTTTTTTGTTTATTTTAGCGACATCTAAATCACTTGGAGAAGTAGATGATGTTTACAAAGAGCCTGTAGCATTAGCTATGCCAAAAAGTTATAGTGCGCATTCAGTTGGCAGCTACACTAGTAGTGGAGGGTGAATTTTTTAATAAAATTATAGTGCCATTTTATTAATAATTATCAATTTTGAATGCAGATTTTAATTGACTTTGTGAAAACTTTCTTTTACTCTTGAAATAAATCGTTAATATTTTCTAGATCAACACCATCTTCGTCTGTTTCAACTTCAGCAATGGATAGTGAAGCTGATTTCGCTCGACTTGCTGAAAATCTAGCTTTGAAGTCAGACAGTCGAGTAAGATATATAGTTAATTATAATAATTATAATAGTTGCACTGTATTGTGATACTATTTGAATAATTTTCTCTTCGTTTTTTTTTCTACGTAATACAGTTTCAGATGAAATGATCTGACAATTATAATTTACTGTATTTTCTAGGGAGATTTCTCATTTCATCGTTCAAGTGATTCAACACCAATAAATGATTATAGATCAACACAAACATTTCAACGGTTATCATTATTATCTGCAAATTCAAACACTACGTCTAATAATAGGACATTGCAATTTAAATCAGCTGGAATAAAGGTTTGCTAAATTTAAGCACGCATTAATATGTTTCTAATGAAGTATATAAAGTGCAAAAGTTAAATTTTATATTTGCTAATTTAAAATCTAACATGGCAAAATAAAAACTAAAAAAGACACTTTTTTTTCATATATAATTGCATTTATGTCTAAATTACATTTGTTTTTTTTTTCAAAAATAATTAAATAAGAATGAGATATATGTGTGTTTCAATTAGAATAATTAACTACTCTTCTGATATTTATAGGGACTGGCTCATTTAGCAGATTCAAGTGAAAGAGTTCTTGGACCACAGTTTATGAATGCACTTAATGGATATGCAGAAAAAAGCCAAGATATGTTGAATCAGGTTTACTTTCAAGCAGCAACATTCTTACACTTTCTAATCCTTTCTTAAATTGAAATTGTAGTTCTTTTGCTTATTTTCATGTTCATATGTATTATAAATTTATGGCATATTTTTATTTTATGCTTCTTTTTGATTAAGTTTTTTTCTTTGTTGAATACTAATTTAACAGTTTCTTTATGTACAATAAATTTTTTGCATATTTGATAGGTTTTGAATCGAACAGCTCCAAAAGCTCAAGCTATACGAGATAAAGCTGTGCGTCCTATTGCTGCCGCAGCCGCAAATCGGATGGAGCAAAGTCAGCATTTAGTTCGTACAAAAAGTAATATAATTGGTAATAAAAATGCAAATACTGCACAACAGCAAAGGTTATTTTTAGCTTTGATATTATACTTTGAAGTAATCAGGCAAGCAATAAAAAACATCAGACATTTATGTTTTCCTACAAGTATGATGTTCAAATTCTTAACATGGAGAAAAGAATTACAAAATCTAAACTTATCTGTTGGTTAATATGTAACAAAGATTTTTAAAGTAAATTAAAATTTTGGCATATATTTGCAATTTTTTAAGCAAGTTTTATTATTGCGTAATTGAATATGTCAAATTGTTTAACTGCTAACTTTAAATCATTGAAGGTTATCTAGGAAATATAAGTTTTTGCAAATATTGTACTGTTTAAAATAATGCTATAGTATTAATTTTGCAAATTAATTATATAATAAAACCTTTCAGTAAAAATCAGCAGATTGTTCGCGAAATATGCGATCAAATTTTGAATGGTCAAGGAATTGGGGTTTTTACGTATCCAAAATTAAAACGTTTAATGGAAGATGAAAGCTTAAGGCAGCTTGTTTGTTCAAAATTAAATCTTGGTCTAGATGTACAACAATTTGAAGATGATTTCATACAAAAAATGGTATGAACCAAGTTTTTTATACTTTTTGAGCGTTTTTTCAAATAAAGCATTAAGTTTTAAAAAATTCACATACATTCATTAATATATTTGAAGAGTTTATATGGCATTTTTCTTTTTTTAAAAAAAGTGTAAATGCGTAATATTTAATTTCAAAAATTCTAGCAACTTACGCGAAGTCAATACAAAGGATATTTGAAAGCTTTGCAAACATGCATCAGTGGTTTAGAATATTCATATAAATCGTCTGGTTCCAATGGTTTAGCATCTCTGTTTCATGTGCTAGAAATTGCACATACTCATTACTGGACAAAAGAATCTGAAACAACGCCAACAAGTGCCTCAGGAAGTTTGGTAAAACTTTATTATTCTTAAAAAATCTAGCAAATTTTTTTAATTATATGTTTGATTTTTGAGGCTCACAAGTATTTCCAGAATCAGACTTTTCAGGTGTTTTTGATGATATAAATTTTTTCTTCCATATTTCTAGAGCTAAGTCTAAAAATATCTAACTTTTGAAGCTTAATACTCCTTCACCATCGTTATATGATATGCAACGGTACCAACATGATAATTCATATCTTTCTCGTCCTCCTCCTCTTCCTCTTCCTCCGTTATTATCTCGACCTCCTGCATTATCTGTAAGTCAGTCTGGAAAACCAGTCATTCCACCTCGGATTTCTCGAGAAGTGCATGGAATTGTATTGCGTAAGTTATTTCTTTTACCATCAACTTTGTTTATAAACATCACATGTTTATATTAAGCGACTTTTTTCTGTTTGAACGATTCTAAATAATAAATTTAGTATTATTTTATCACTAAAATTCCGAATGCGCATAATTTTTGTCAGCTTCACATTTTCCGATACTAACTGCTGGAAGTGCTTTGCGAAATAAATTGATTAAAAACAAAAAACTAATCTATAAATCACACATTTTATTACTTAATAGTTTGTTTATTTGCTTTTTATTATTTAGCTACTGGCCCACCACCTCCACTCCCACCACGACCAGCAGCACAGCAACAACAAAACCAAAATCATGATCAATTACCGACTCAGAAATCAGATGTTACTGTAAGCAGTTTGGATGAAGCTGCAGAATTAAATAGCTGTTCATCTGAGAGTAAACCTTATGATCCAAAGTTAGATTTGGATGATAAAACGGAAACGAGTACTAATACATCATCACATTCATCTACGGGTTCAACTCTTGTTAGTATAAATTTATACAGTCCTTTGAATTGAATTACTAAATTTTTTCGAAGTTATTAAAAAATCTAAAATTTTCAAGATTATTTTGATATATTAAATCATTTTTTTGACTGAAAATAATATTATAAATATTATTAATTTAAATAAGCTGACGAGAAACCTAAATTCTGAGATTTCTCACATTACAATAGAAATTTTTCGTGGGCTGTGCATTTTATTCGACAGCATGATGATTTCCTCTGTAAGATAACATTCAATCGAAAAGCAGATTTTCATCTACATTATCATGAAATACAATATATATTATAATGTATACCATTTATAAGCTCATTAATCCATCTGAAAAAATACATCTAAAAGTTAGGGTACAGAGAATAGTATGTATATTATTATTTCAGAAGCATCGTTTTCATCCACATCCTCCTGGCAGTCTCTCACTTGATCCAGCTTTATCTCCACGTGTTTCGTCTCTTACAGAAGTTCGACACTTCCTCTATCAAGATTTAATATGTGATATTTTGCATTTTTGTTTCTTAATCATTTCTTAAAAATTCATTCAACTCATTTCACATTTAGTTCGAATGCTTGTATTTTGCTAATAAACGGATTGTATTTAGAATGTAACGCTATTTTAATTTTTATACAAAATTTTTGCACATTCTTATTAAACAAAATTGTATGCGGCATTTGTTTTTAAATTAAACTGTAAAAAAACTAATTGTAATTTTTAAGCCTTATTACTAATATTATTTCATACAGTACCTTCACCGAATCCATTATGGCAAACAATGGATTTTTGGGAGAATGCTTTTTTCGACATCGTCGCACAAGAACGAGATATTATAGGAATGGATCAAGAACCATGTGAAATGATCGATAGATATTGTAACTTATCTGATACTGAAAAACGGCGTCTAGAATTAGATGAAGATCGTTTATTATCAACATTACTACACAATTTAACATCTTATATGATAATGTGTGGAGCTGGACAACGAGCTGTTCAACAAGTTCAAATTTTATTCTTATTCACTTCTTTATTTTTAACTACAGAAATTAAAGATTCTTGTTTGATTATTAAGCACTTTTATGAAAGTCAAGTTCTTTCATTCTTTGAATTTGTCTAATTTATCAAATATGATTATTAAAGAAAACTGTAAGCCATTATAATATACTATTAATTTGAGTGTTTATTTGTTATACGTCATTTAAAAATTTTTGCAAATTAACATTATAAACGAGATCGAACTGAGTTTTAGAAAATACGACGTTTATTAGGTAAAGCGCATATTGGCCTAGTATATTCGAAAATGATCAATGAACTTCTAGATGACCTTCCCAATATTGTAAGCATTCTAAATTATCTTTCATTTGCATTTGCAAAAAAAAATAAAAATCTCTGATAGTATAGTAGATCAAAAGTAGATTGATATAATCTGTCAATTGATATGTATCAAAGATTTTTTTAAAACTATTTTGTAGAGGAGAAAAATGAAAGACGGAAGAAGTAGTAATGTATTGAAATTTGAAATTTTTATTGTTGTTTTGTTTTAGCTTGAATTTTACAATTAAAATAAATTTTGCTGCATGTCATGTTACTCCTATAATTTTTATCATCTCAGAGTCTAAACTTGTTTTAAAAAAAGAGCTTAAATTTAGCAAAGTAATCGAATTCCTTTAAAACCTCTTGGAAGTCGTTTGATCCATAAGCAGTCATTTACGGTTCATGAAGGTGCAACAGCAGAAGATTCATTAATGTTTATGGAGGTCAATTAAAGTTGAAAAGATCTTTACGATTTATTCAAATTTTCAGTAAATATTATACTTTATTGTGTCGTAAAGTATACATGAATACAAAAATTTCTCTTAAATCTTATATTATCATTGTTGAAGTTTATGACTTATTGAATTTGTGACTACAAAAAATTTTTGGTTAAGGTATGTGATGACGCAGTAGTACTTCGAGCAGTAACAGGTGCAATTACGGAACGTTGGTGGTACGAACGTCTTGTTAATATGACTTATTCTCCAAAAACGCGTGTTCTGTGCTTATGGCGGCGACATGAAGGAAAAGTTCATATGCATAAATTTTATACAAAAAAGGTTAAATTTAAACATACTAAAACTTAGAAAAAATTCTGCAGGAAAAAACCACGTACATTATTTAATTCTTATGTACTACCTACTCCGTGCATAAAAACGATTAAATAAACGTCAAATAATCGATCTGATTATGATTAGACTTTTCTATGACTTTCTTATATTACTTTTGGTATATGAAGCAGTTTGTTGATTATTTTTTGTCAGTGTCGAGAATTATATGCCGCCATGAAGGAAGCGATGGAACGAGCTGCAGCTCGAGGTAAAGTTTCGTTATCTGGGCGAGATTTAGGTGGAGAATTTCCAGTTCAAGATATGAAATCAAATCAGGGTGGACTGTTGCAAGTTAGGATTGATGGTATCGCGCTACTTTTTGAAGAAAGACAGGTGATGGTTTCTTGATTAATTATTTGTATACGCAATAAGATATTACAACATTGTAGCCATATCCATTTCTGATTACTTTTCAAAATTAATTTAATAGTTTTGCATTATTTTTCAAAGTTTTCCAGCATTTCATCGACCTGAGTAATATCAAGAAATGCAACACATTTGGTGGTAATGTATTTGTATTGGAAGAATTTGGTAAGCAATTTTTAATTCACTTTTAACTAATTTACTTTTTTTACATGCATAAAGTTCCTTTTTATTTTGCATTATCAAAATACTATATATACTATAGGAAATTGTAGGATTATATTTTAAATGATGTAATACTTTTTAATTTAAAGATTAAAATGATGAAGAAAGTTTTAACAATTATCAGATCCAAAGTTTTATGCACTGATATTTTACTTTTTATTTTAACGAAATATGCATTCGATTACTTTCTGATTTAGTTAATCCACATTAATAATAATAATAATTATTATTATTATTAATGTGGATTAACTAAATCAATTCGCTTATTTTATTATATGAAAACAAAAGATTTTGAAGCAAGTGGATATTCTCATGATATACATATTAATAATAATTAGTATTATAACAATAATAATAACAATAATAAGAACAGTTGTAATAACGATTATAATAATAACAATAACAAAAGAAGTAATAATAATAATATAAATAAATAGATAAACAAGTGAATTGTAATAAATATTAATAATTTTTCGTTACTTCAGATCGCAAGAAGAATGAATTAATACAAAGGCGTTACTTATCACAAATGGTAAAAGTTAAATCAAAAAATATTGAAATGCAGTTTCAATTTGCGCATAAATTATGAATTAAACTTTTAATTTTTTGAAGTTGAGTATTTGAAACTAATATTACATATATAGTGTATTTTGGGACCTCACAAAATAAATCACAACTTATGCATGCTTGTCAGTTTTTGTTTCCATTTATTTTTTGTTTTAATTTATTTCCCGTACTGTATTCTTTATTAGATGCTTTTATTCAATATTTTGTCCTGCAAATCATAGGAAAAGCATTACATATCATAACTGGAAGCACTAAGAAAACTGTAAATTGTTTATTAAAAGAGAAGGAGAAGGGAAATTGTAGATGTGAAGAATCAGAAAAATGCTTATCAGCAACAAAAATATGAAAACGAAAGATTTTGAAGCAAGTGGATATTCTCATGATATACATATCGCGCATGCATATAGTTGTTGTTTTTTTCTCATGTAATTTGTCATGATTGTGTGATAGTTAAGTGCTTGTTGCTGTTGTTGTTGTTTGTTTGTTTAGGTCAGTGAGATTGCATGGACGGTACATCGTGTATTTTCTATAAATTACATGATGAATCAAGAAAATTGTCACGTGCACTTATCTCATGCAAATGCAAATCAAATTGTTGTAACACCGAAAACTTACATGGATTCAACTTATTATGGTATTTTTATGCAAGATTCAATTATTGCTAATATGATGAAGAATGTTAGTGAATGATACATTTTCAAGATTCAGTATTTGGCGTGATAAGTTAAGTAGCGGTGTTTGTATTCTTGTTGTGTTGTATGATTTGTTAGTTACTTAAATTATATGTTACGAATGATTTGGTTTGCATTTTTTGAATAGCATATATACTAGATATGATAACACTCCATATTTATCTATCTATTCATCCAACTATTCATCTCTTTCATACTTGATTATAATGATTTTTAGATAAAGTGTCAATAATAATGAATATATATTTTTATAGGCTGATCAGATATGTTACGCAGTTTTGTGTGTTTTCTCATTTGTTGCGGCAGGACGTCGTGTAAATAATTCTGATAAAAGCAATGCAAAATCTACAAAAGGTGAAGCATCAACACAACATTCCTCAAAAGTTAACTGGTGATTTAACTTTGTAAATATGGATTATTGGAAATGTTGAGTCTCTTGCACCAAAGTAGTGAAGAGATTAAACTTTATGTTTTTGCTAATCATATGTATCATAAAGATATTAAGTTGGAGTTCTGTGTATGCCTTCACTCAGTTCAATTAGGATGGTTCAATATAAGTTAATTGAATATAAAGTTCAGTATAATTAGTTTGGTACTAATTAATGTATCATAAATCACTATGAAAAATTTTAGCAGTTTGGAATCCTTTAAAATTTTGAACAACCTTTACTATATATTATTGACTAATGGGTAGGTTTAACTTTTTTGCCAGTGATATTGAGTTGTTTATATTCATGTTCAAATTTAGTCTGGAATTTAGTAAATTTTAAGTGTATCTATTATTTTTAAAATTTCTAAGCATTCCCCTTTTTTTTTGATTATTAGTTCGTACATTATGTGGAAAATTTGGTGCTAATGAAATATAATTTATTCTTAACATTTAAAATTTTCTTTATTATTTCGTATTTAATCTGTAATTTTATGATTTAGGAATGCCTAATATATCCTGAACGAACAACTTCATTTGAAAATCATTTTTTCATAATTAAAAAAAGTTAGCTGCATACAGCAATAACGTTCTCAGTAATAATTTTAGCATTGTTTGATATGCAGTTGCAAAATTTTTCTCTGAAAACATTTTGGAGCAAGATATTTTATGCTAATTCAATGACACTTTAAATATCATCACATATGTTTGAAATTGTTTATCTACAGATAGCAAAATTAATCTAACCTGAGCACCGATTCTTGCTTATTTTCAAAAATTTTTGCCAAAGTGAGCCAACTTTTGATTACTCAATTAATGCTTAAAAATTTTGCATAACTTTGAAATTACACTATTTTTTATATACTCGCAGAAATCACATGTTGTATTAATGAATATGTAGTGTTTAAAAAGAACTGTTGTTATTTGTATAAAATTAGTAATTATGTTTTCTTGCCATACACAAAATTAATGCTTGTTAATGTAAGATCTTCAAGAATATTATCATTTCTAACATTTGAAAAATTAAAAAAGAATTTGTGAACAAAAGTTTACTTTGTATGGGACAGTATGTATTTAATTATTAAAAAATTTTTAAAGTTATAGTTTCTTTTCTTGACTTTCATAAATCTGATAATATCGCTGTAAACAATATGTATAGAAAATGCATAGCTTTTTTTTTTGGAGGAATTTTGTCTCTAATACATTTTATAGAAGATGCAAATTGTAACTATATTATGTATGATAAAATATTTTAGAAATGATATTTTGCATATTTTTGATGATAATATGTGTGATTGCGAGAAATGATCATTTTTATTTGACTGCAAAAGTTATTTTTAGTGAAAAATTTCTCATAGCTTTACTGCACTTTTTTATCACTTCTTCCTACGAAAAATAAATCTGAACTCATCATATAGCCTCAAAGCTTGAATGTGAAAAAGAATTGCTTGGCATTTTCCAGAACTTTCAATTACCAAAATATCTGGTATAGTATATGACAAACAATTTTTGACACTAAATGTAAATTCAAGTGTCAATTTGAACTTATTGTATAAGGGGTATACTGTGTAATTGTAAAAAAATATTACGATATTTGCAAATTTTCAATAATTATATACAAAGAAAGAACTAATGCCAAATATAGCGAATGTTTGTTTTAAAAATGATGAAAAATACAACGTTTGATAACTCTTTGGTGTGCTTGTATTATGCAATACAGATTTTTTAAATATTTCTGGAGAAGTATAACTAAAGTATTAATAAATATTATTTTAGTTATACTTTTTCTTTACAGCTAAAAATAATGAAAATCATTATTTCCATTCGTACTCAGTACCAGAATCTTTATTAATCATAAAGTTATGAAGAAAAAGTTTCCACAATTTTTAACATTAGTCTTCTCTAATTTCCTATGAAGATCTCTCTCTTCTCTTGAAGATTTTGATATCAGTACTAGCAATGCATTTTTCTAATATGAATGATGTGTGTTTAAATTGTACGAAAAATACGATCGACAATTTTTTTCAGAATAAAGGTCAAGATTTATCAGTTTACGTTTTATAGTTGATAGTTTAAGACTTTTACTGTTATCATTACTGTTATTTTTTTATAGAATAAATTAACAGATAAAAATTTAGCATTATATAGCAACGTAGTGAAACGCCATCTTTGACATCATATAGGGATATAGTGGAATCGAAGGAATTTAAAGATTCATTGAAGTAGTAGGGTCAGAGGTGAACTGCGCAAAGTCAGCTGTTGAAACTCATATATGTACTGTACAGCAGTACCCTTTAAAAAAAAAACATTCGGGTAGTGCATAATAAGAATAGTACACCTACCTGTGAAAGCCACGATGAAGTGCGGGCAGGGATTTTAGCAAGAACTGAGCGATTAGCCAAAGGTGTGCTGAATGGCAAGAATCCTATCACGGCAGTAAATGAGTACGCCATAGGTTTAAGAAACTGTTATATTGGGGTGCTCGGATTAGAACCAGAAGACTTCAACGGTTTAGATCGTAATATTAGACAACGTATGCGATGAGTTGGCATGGAGATTAACTAATCTTATATTTTGCATTATTGGTACTGGCTGTAGATCAAGTCTATCGCGGTAATTTAAGTGATCTCTTTAAGTGTTTTTTAAGCATTATTCTAATCGATATATGTCTCAATGTTGATACATTGAATGTTCTAATGTTGAGAGATATACCAAATTTCTCAATGTTAAGATAAAATGTTATTATTTGCATAGTATTGATGGGATGTTAATAAATTTGATCAACTTGACAAAGAACAACCGAAAATTTATTTACTCTGCGTGATATTGATAAATATTATATTATATTAATTTTTGATTAATATGATATAAGGATAAATCAATGCATAAAAACTTTATCTGATCAATCAGTGGTGATAAAACATAACTGTGAATATTTTGTAATTTTAATTAGCAAGTTAAAAAATTCATTGAAAAATAAAATTAGATAATTTTTGATTAAATAGCTAAGTTTAATATTCTTACATATTTCAAGTATACAATAGCATTTCATTCCTGTACACACATTGTTACATTCATTTTATTCAGTAACTTTTTTTCTTCTTTTTTTAAAATTTTTGTAAAAAATAAAGCGTGTAAATTTTTGCAATTAACTGAATTGCATTTTTGTGAATGAAAAAAAAGTCAATTTTGATTATTTAATTATTTAATCAATGAGATGACAGTTTGAAAGAGATAAGCAGACAAAATGTATTAATAACTTGATTACATTTACTTATTGCAACAGAGAAATTTGAATGAAATATTCATTGAATATAAATGTGCTATTATTTTTTACTGCAAAAAATTATATTATCAAATTGATTGATATGATGTGTAGAAGAGCTTCTGCAAGATGTGTGCTAGTGAATAAAAAAGAAAGCATTGATAAACGCACAAAAAATTCCATAACTGTAAGCAAAAATAATTTTACAAAAAAAGTGAGAAAATGGTATCACTTCGAATTCATTTCATTTTTCATTAAAATTTTTATTGATTTTGATATAAATAATTATTATTAATAATTTTTATTTGCTTATTTTTTCATTTTTTAACTACGTATAAATAAATTGTTGATTGCAAAGTTAATCAAACATGCGTATTCATTTAATTTTATTATTGCATATAATAAAAAGGTCGTAATAAATTAGTAATCAATGTGAACAGTTGATTATTGTATTTGTTGTAATTATTGATAATAAATAAAAATAAACTAATAATTTCTAATATTACTAATTTTTTTTTAATTTTTTTAATTCATATCTTAACAGCATGAATAGTTAAAATTACAATTATAAGTTAATATTGCCAAAAGCAAACATAATTTTGATTGCACAAGCTATATTTTTCATTATTAACAAAAAAAAAGGTTTAATTTTTTACAAACAATTAATACACAAAATAATAATATAAATATAATAATATGTTGTATAATAATTCTTGGCCATAAAAAGATTCAACAGTATAAGATTTTTTTGTTAAATGCAAGCAAAAGAAGTTGATAATATAAGATAATTGGTATGAGTTCTTTTTTTTTTTTTTTTAACAAATATTTTTGCAGCATTTAGTAACAAAATTTTTTTAATTCGTTCAATAAGACTTAAAATTTTTGAAATGGAAAAAAAATAAATGTGAAAATTAACAAGAATTAAAAATGCAAAAATTTTCATAAATTTCATTCATTATTATTTTTAATACACTCATTCAGTATTTACTTTTCTCTTCGATAGTAAAATAGCACACTTTTTTCATAATTTTTTGATATATAAAAATTTTTTTAAACAATAAACTGGCCTGAATGCTAGTTGAATTTGATTTTAATGAGTGTTGATTTTATAACAAATTGTAGAAATTTTTGATTTTAACTTTTTTTTGTTTCATTTTTATTCATTTTAATATTTTTTTGAAGAAATTTTAAATAGTTACAAAAATTAAAAATAAAAATAATAACATCAATGAATCTTTATTTTTTATAATTTTTTATGGTTAATTTTGCAACATTTTACTTTCAAAACGTTGGAACTGTTGAATTTATGTAATGACTGAAAAAAATGCAAAAAGCATATTTTCATTGCTAAGTTTGACTGATTTTAAATTATGCTTGTAGAAGAAAATTATTCAAGCTATTATATAATTATTTATCAACATTAACTGTGATAAAATGAGGCTTGTGCTACTTTGATTCAAAATAAATAATAATATAAATGAGAACAATAATAATAGCAATGATACTATTAATTGTTATTTTTTTAGTCATTAACAAGAACATTAAAATTAATAACTAATAGAAAATTAGTAAAATTATTCACAACTAATGTATTGAAAATATTGCCAATATATATTACTGCTTATAAAATAAGCCAAATCTTTTTTTACTTTAATTATTCGAAAGAAAAATATTAAACAAAAGGTTAGTAAGAAAAAGAATAATTTTAATGAAAATGAAAATGGAAATGAAAATAATTTTGAAAATCGTTAAAATGAAAGAAAAATGTAATATAAAAAGTCAGTAAAGTAAACTAGCTGATTAAATTAAAAGAAATACATTTTAAACTCAAAATTGTCAGTATATTATAATACTTTTAACATTCAATACTTATTTATTACTTATTAGTAGTAGCAGTAATATGTTAATACTTATAGCTATTGCTTTAGTAATTATTACCAATATTCTTTATTACAATCAGTGCAATTATAATCATAGTAATTATAATTGTTATTAACAATAGTTGTTGAAATATTTGTGAGAGATATGTGTACACGGCATTTAATTTATTTAGTGCTCAATAAGCTTTTGATAGAAGTGCATTCATTCGTTCATTCATTCAATGCCTCAATTCTTTAATTCCATTTCACTCATTTAAATTTATTAATCTATTAACCAATTAATTAATTTATTTTTTCAATTATTCATTCATCTATTCATTCTTTCTTTCGTTCATCCAATCCATTTCATTTCAGTTTTTTCCGTCTTCTTACACTTTATCTTCTATCACAATCCGGTTGAAGTATAAATGCTCCCGAATTGTCTTTTTTATTTTAAATATTATTTGTTTGTGAAGTATCTTTGAGCACATTCACGAAACTCATTAATTTTTTTCTTTTTTCATATCGTCTATAATTTATTCCATGCTATTTACGGAGTTTAACTGCTTTACTCCCGAGAACATCACTATTCTCGATCACGTTTTAATTGTCCAGGTGTTATCCATCTGTTCAACATTAACATCATTATGTTTTCATATGTTATCATCATATGAAACATTTAGCAGTAATATTATTATAAAAGTTATCAGTCTGATCAAAAAAGTTCGTTTCGTTCAAGCAAAACCGTTGATTGTCAATTTCACCAAATTTTTTATTACTCAATTGATCAAGTTCAAAGTTTACTTAATACATTGTCAAAAATCAAATATTTCGGTTCGGTTTTTTTAATGCAAAAAAAACTTCATTTTCTAATCATTTCTCTATTTTATTTAAATTTGAATATTTGGTTTTCATTTGCTAATATCTGCCAAATCTGTAACTGAGAAGAAGTTAGATCTAAAAGTTTTACAGCTTCCGCAATTTCCGATGCTAAATTGTATTAATATTTATGAAAAAGAATTGAATGTTATTTTTAAAATACTTATAATCTTGTGCAAAGTTATTAAAAAACATTGCTTATAATGAAAAAAAAATTCATTAAAATATTAAAAGAGAAGTAATGTAAATGTCAGAATGTTGATGAACATGGTCTTTTTTAATCACATATTTTATGCTTTCACTTACTTTCTTATTTTCATTTTTCATTTACTAATCCATTAGATTTTATTTTGTAGAGGTCTGATAAGTTGACAAAAAAGGATTCGATTTACCAAAATAAAAGGAATAAATGATAGAACAGAGAAATGAATAAATAGCTAATTGAATAGATAAGTAAATAAATAAATAAATAAATAAATATAAAATCATTTAGTGAAAGTAAAATATGGCAATGGAATTTGTCAAGTCAGAGTAACATTTTGAAATGAACTTTCTTCAATAATATAAGCATTATCGAATTCGTTTCATGCTATTTTTCAGACTTAAGATAATAATAAATGATCTAAGCTATCTAATTGATCTTACACTTTCCAGTGACCGAGCAACAATTGTCTTAACTTAAAAGTAAAAATGATTTTTTTAGTATGCTATTAGAGAGTTTCATTGGATATTTTGCATTTTACGCTTCTCATTTTGCAGTTTTTTTCCCAAAAGAAATGAATAAATCGTAGATTGAAATCGAATTATCACGCAAAATATTTTGAAAATTTGAAAATTCATTAGCTACCTCAATTTTCTTTTTTTGATTACATTCTTCTGACTCAAGAATGAAATTTTCAATTAGTATTTTGCTTAGAGCAAATTAATAAGTTATGCTAAACCATGAGATCTAAGCTATTTGTTTTGCTTTTATCCTAAAGAGATTGATGGGTACAACTTGTGACATCGCCCACTAAAACTAGCCATTGTTATTTGTTGTATTTGATTTATTTATCATTAATATAAATAATGCATTACTGTGATTTTATCAATGTATATTATAATTTACATAATGTTTTAATGTACTTTTTTCTCTCTTTACTTATTTATTTATTTATTTGCGAACTATTTTGCTGTAATGCTAACATATTTGAAAATGCACCAGTGAACATTTACACAAGATTCCCATAAATACATTAATATTATTCATAGCTCAAACTTTCTGCCTCAACAGTCACTTTGCATTTGCTATAATTTATTGGTTTTATTCAATTTTAAATTAAATAAAACAAAATGACCAAGGAAATAGTTTTCATAAATTAAAACTTTACTTGATTGATAAGTACTACTAATACTGATTAATTAAGAAACAGAGCAAGTTTTGCATGTTTTGTGGATAAATTAAAAAATATAGGAAGTTTTGGAAATAATTTATGCTAAATATGATTTTAGATTTCAGATTATCACATTTCATAAGTAATGATTCATTAGTAGTACTTATCATAAGTGAATATTAAATAATAACTGCTATTTAATGCTTCCTTTGCTATTTTTCAAAGTCTATACAATGTTGTTGTACAAAATGTGTTTATTCAGTATCACAATCAGACATGATATAAGCATAAAGTGTATTTAGTCTACTTATCAAACATGATTTGCAAGAATTGGCAATTACTTCAATTCCTATCATTAATCCGTTTAAAATTGTATGATTAACATTATTAACGTAGTTATCATTACAGCTGATATGCAAATGATAACTACTGCGTATCAATTCAAATTTCTCTCAAAATTTCTGTATTATATCGTAATTTTTTTTTTGTTTGCGTTATTAATTTGAAATTTATTTGTTGCAATCTTTTTTCTTCTCTAAAAATGATTATTACTGAGACTATTCAAAAAAGTTTGCTTGCAATCTGTAATATTGAAAATGTTGATTACATTTATTGTTGGCTTGCTCAAGTAGTTTTAATATTTACTAAAAGCAGTCCAGTTATCTTCACATTTCTATTTCTATTAATAACTTAATGTATTTTAGATTATAACGAAAGAATTAGAAAAGAAAAGTTAAAAATGAAAAGTGGACAAAGTAATAATTGTAAAAACCAAACCAGACCCCAAAACGATGAAAAAAAAAACTGATCAATTATTTAAAAAGCGTGAAATAATATTTTGAGATGACAAGAAGCAATTATTTAAAAGCATTAAAATCATCTCAAGTTGAAATGAACCAATATTAAATGAAGCAATACATTCAACTAATTTCTTGAAATTACAATCTGCATACATTTCTGACATTTCCATTATTCTTCTTTAATTTTTTTATTCTAACTTTTTTCATTTGATTTTTGCATGTTATTAAGAATGTATTACAAATTTATTTTATTCTTTTTAAAAAAATGCTTTTATATTAAAAAGCAAGCGATTAATTTCATGTAATGTCAATGTCATAAATTATTAAACAATTTCTTTTATAACTCTTAAATAAATAAATAAGTAAATAAATAAATGAATGCAATCATTTATGCTTGTATGCATAATCAGTCATTTTTTGCTAGTAATAACATCTTTGAACTTTTTGGTTTGTTATTTTAAATTTTTTAGCAAGATTTTATCGCATATTCTCTTTTGTGATATTTTTATTTATTCAATATTTATCGGCATAGTTTTTTTTTTCCCTCTTTTTTTTGGCTCTTTATTCAGTAATTTTTTTTTGTCAATATAGCAGTTATGATTTGTTATCTTATTTTTACTGCACATTTTAAAAATACAATTATGAATTTTTTTAAACTTCAGAATTCTGATTATGTTCTTCTCTGTTTGCAATAAAATGATAAACAAATTGTAACATGATGGATTCTGTTTGTGCAGGCTGTTCGGTACAAATACGTGATCGTTATATGCTTCAAGCTATTGGTAAACTTTGGCATGAAGATTGTTTAAAAGTAAGCTAAGCTTTTAATCAGCATCAAACTATTATTTTTAAAATTAAATTGCATCGAAAGAGCAATTTTATACTATGTTTAATATCAAAGCAAAACTTTTGAGCGAAATGACAATGTCAATTTTTATATGAAAAAAGTTTTGTAGCAACTTTTTAGTATTTTAAAAATATACTTTTTTTCTGCTATTTAAACATTAATAACTGAAATAACATGGTCTGATACTAATAATAATCATTTTGATAGTTTAGTTTTCCACAAAAGTCAATTACAACGTTTGAAACAATTCCAATTTGTTTACTAAACTTTTTAGCATTGCTTTTAACTAAACTATGCAATAAATTTGTAGCAATGCCATCATATTGTAGTGTGCTTGTTGCCATTGTCGCTTAGGAGAACTTGGATCTAAGCTTTACTACAAGCAAAGTATGATATTATGTACTCGGGATTACTTGCGATTATTTGGATTAACGGGTACTTGCGCTGTATGCGACAAAAATATTCCAGCATTTGAACTTGTCATGCGAGCTAGAGATAATGTTTACCATTTGCAGTGCTTCGCATGTCAAGCATGCAACCAAAGGTCATTGTAATGATTTTAGTGTAATTCCAAATCTATAAATTTTGTACTAATATTAAATAGCTCAAAGCAATAAATATTTTTATTGCACTTCTTGGATAACTATCAATTACTGCAAACAATTTTTAACAAATCTTAATTTTCAGGTTTTGTATTGGAGACAAATTTTATTTAAGTGACAACAAGATCCTTTGTCAATATGATTTTGAAGAGCAAATGGCATTTCATCAAGCTGCTTATAGTAATCACAGCTTAACTGAACTTACTAAAAACATTGAACAATTAGAAAATTTTGAAACGGTTTGAATTTCAAAAATTTTTGCAAATTATTCTAACTTTTAATTATGATCATTAAAATATATCTTTAAAACTTTTATTTTTTCAACAAAAAAAAAGAGATTGTTAACGCTGCAAAAATGCATTAAGTATTTGAACATAATCTTATTTGAAAATTTAGTATAATTTCAGCTTGAAGCAAATATGGTTGGTTCATAACTTGCAATCTTTCAGAAATTTTCGAGAACTGGAAAATATTTCTTCTTATGATCACATAACTTCTTCTTTAAGATGTATAAATTTGGAAGCTTTTTAAATCTATGATGATCAGTTTGCTTTCTATGAAATATTTGCAATAATTATTCTGTTTTAAATGATCAGTTTGTTCATTGATAAAGTTTGAAAGTCAAGTTAGATACAACGTGCAGCAAAATGAATAAATATTATTAATGAATTAGCAGTTAATATCTAAAGGTTTAAAATTATTGAATATAAAAAAATCTTATATGTTACTTGAAAATAACTCTAATGATCCTTTCTTATTTAAAAATCATGTCGCTTCTCAAGTTCATTTGTTTTAAAACATAAACTGTCCAATTGTAATTGCTGAAACTTTCTTCACTTTTCCTGAATACAATACTAAAAAGGGATTTATGAAAGGATAGTAGGCAAAATTTTTTACCATGTACGCCTGGATCTTCTGATGAATTGATTTAAAATTTTCTCATGTGCTGATTTGAAAGCAACTTATTTTGCGTGATTGTTTAAATCATAATAATATCACGAAATATCTAATAATCATCTATTATTACTTGTTGTGATAAATCAAAGAATGCTTGATTTGTGTAAATTGAAATAATGCCATGTCTAATACTTTTATAAATTGTAAACATGACTGCACCAATGATCCTCACTTTCAGAAGATTGATAATCACAATCATAATAATAGTAGTTATGAACAATAGCAGTAATGACGGCAATAGCAATAATGATCATAGTAATGTTTGTGTGATAAACTTCAGAGTTCAGAATACAAACTTCAGAGTTCCTGAGCAAGAAAATATTATTATCAGGATTAACTATGAAAAATAAAACTTCTTTGACTTTTTTTACATGGAATATTATTTGATTTACTTTGAACATATTTCACGAAAACATAAAATTGATACACTGCAGTGAAAGATCTAACATTTGAAGGGATAATAAAACAAAATTAAAATTATCCAAGATGAATATTATGCTTCGAAATGACGCACAAGATGCATACGTGTAAATCCTTGCTTACTTTCGAATTGCTTTAAACTGAACGAATTTGTCTACATACACTGAAAATAAATACAATCTTTATTTATACAAAATTAAATATTTGAAAGTAAATCAATTCTGATTAATTTCAAAAGATTGGAACGACGCAAGAGACTTGTTCATTATTTGTGAAATGTGCACATTTTTTTATTGTAGCAATCACGGCGATCAAATTTTTTACCAGTAGAACTTGAAATGTAGTACAAAATGAGATATTGCTCCCGACTGCTATCAATTCAGATGGTTTAACCCATAAATTCGTATAATGCTAATGTGTAGCCAAACACTGTGTACACACGAACTTGCCTATTAACGATGACTTAAGCTTTAGTAGTTCCAAACTGTAAATTCAAATAAAAAAATTTAGTCAGCAACATCACATCTATTGCTTGACGTTACGCACTCACTTTCCGAAGCTTATCTTGTTAATATATACTACTCCTAAAGTTATGGTTTACAAAAATTCTAGTACAACACGCTGAAGAAAAACCCTAGACAAAAACGTTCGCATAATTTCAGCAAGCTTACATTTACTCACTAACATATACCAGCAATCACTGCTATTTGTATTTCTTCCGACATGACTTCATGGTAATCAAAGATATATGAAACAACCTACATCCAACTCTACTTTTCACGTTTTAAACAATGCTGCTACTTTTCTACTGATGAGCATACTAAAAAACCCACTAAATCACTACAAAATTAACAAGACACAACTGCGATCATTTCCCATGGAAATGCACTTTTTCCTTCCAAATTAAGAATTGATGCCTAGATCCACAAATAAATCCTAACATCCAAATGATTCCCAATAAATCACTTTTAAATCGTCGCTTCTTTTCATCTTAGTGATCATATTTAAGTCATTTTTAAATCTCGATTCAGTGCCTTAATGATAAATGAAATAAGAACCTTTGGAATACATAAGAATATCGCTGTCGATGTAAACAACGAAATTGCAAAACACAAAACTGCAGAGATACATGAACATCGACAAGTAAAACCTCAAAAATCAATTTTCTAAATTAATCATTAAATGATCAAACAAATTACATAGCATGTGAAAAATCTTCAGGCCATTCTCGTAATAAAAAAACCACTCTTCACAAAGCAGTAAGCAGCACACACCATATTTCAAACAGTAATTATTCCCAAAGGTAACATCTAGAAAGAAAACCATGATTACAAGTTACAATTTACTTCTTATGACAGCTTAAGCAAGTAGAATCTCCAAAAAACATGAAGCGTACAACAACAACACAAACAGTTGAGATTGTTTCTGATTTACTTTGTAAACAAATTTCTAACATGAACTCTACTTACACACAACGGATAATAGCAGAAAAAACACAAATGCGTGAATAATCTCTATCAAAATGCACTTTAAGATAACAATTAATAAGTAAATAAATTCACACATGAGTAGATTATTAATAGCAAAAACAAAAAAAACAAAAACAAAAGAATATGATGATCAATGAATCAACCAAACGACTTAAAATTACAAATAAATGAAAGACTGCATACAATATATATTAAATGCGAAAATGGCAACTACACTAAGGATTCGAATGACTATTTTGTCCCTAAATTTGGCACATCTCACTGGGAATTTTCCGACCAAATAATCTGTGTAAGACAAACTAAATGTGGTCGTTATTAATCATGCAATGCGGCTAAAATTTTTTCCAACCACAAATCAGCATCAGCTTTCGTATCAGCAAGTAAAGAGTAGACTCGCCTTGATGTTCGAACCTAAATAACTTAGACCCCATATAAACCATGAAATACAATCCTCCAATTATATATAGAAAATTATTCCAAATAGTAATGTAAAAAAATTAGTAAAGATCACGGAATACTGATTACTGTATACCTCTAGAAGCGGTTTCTTCAAGGTATGACTGGCTGCCACTTCAACTGACTTGACATCTGCCAAATCAATCACCCCGCGACAGCTAGCATCTGTTTCACTTTCATAATATCTTAACTGAAATTTAAATTGTTTATCACACAGTCATGATAACGACGAATGTTGAGTGAGCTTTGGAAAAAAATGGTACTTGGTGTCTGCTTGAATCCAGAACAAACCAGCGTGGTTTCCACATTTTGAAAGTAGCACCTTTCTTCATTAAAAAGCCGCTATAAGTAACACCAGAATGAGGATAACTAGCACTTATTGTCAACGTTTTAACATCTGCTGAAATTATTTAGCTAATTAAATATGAAAAATTAAAAGAGGAAGAACAGAAATATAATGTTTTAAATGCTATACATTTAAAGAACTTTGCATAAAACAAACATGAGTAATATTTATGTGCTGTACCTTGCAATATACAAAATTATTTGTTTTCTAATCAAAAACCAACCAGAATAAGTTGCAAATCGCTTTGACACTGGCGGAATATCACATTTAGTCGCTCCTACCAAACGTTTTTCTTCTATGTTAGGACATGTAGATGTTACTAAAGCGGAACATTTTTCGTGACAAACCATACCACAACCCAAACATCGATGTACTGCAAAGTTATGGTAAAACTTCTCATGTTCAATACTTGACTTTGAAAACAAATGAAAATAAAATTACGATAGAACGTCTAACCTGTACGAATTACAACACCAGGCACATTCTGATGACATACTCCACATGTATCACCAGGTGTGACTTGTTGTAAGACGAAATGATGACTTGAGCTCCTTAAAACTTTTTCTTGATTCGCCAAGATATTTTACAACTTTAATGATAAAGAATGCTTTTCACAGTGATGTTGCTAGAAATTCAAAATTTCGATTTGCTAGCACAAGTGTCAGGGAGAAAGTAGATCAAATATGTACCCTAGTAATGGCAAAATTTGTTCCATTTTCACCAAGGTATCTCGATTTATTTTTATTAACGGAAATTTAACAATTTTCATGCGAGTATCATTCACTTAAAAAAAATTCCCAACTAACGTGCTTGCTGTGCTGTCTCTAATTCTTGAAGAGCTTTGCTGCCGGGAAACACCATGCAACAGAAACTTGACAGTTTCCTTTTTCTGAACAGCTCTTCGTACATAACGATGCCATGTAGTGACATTATTTGCATCATCATCATTCTGAAACAGTCATGATAAGTTGAAGCTATTGGGTTTTACTACCAATAAAAATATACAAGAAATGAACTGAAATCGCTCAAAAATTTTAATTACACTTTACTAACATTTATGAAACAAAGCGGTAAAAAAATAATACATGATTTTTTTCAAAAATAATCATTAAAAGATGAAAAATTAATGGTTTAAACATTAAGACCTGAAAACATAATGTTTGCATCGTACGATCATTTACTGCAGTAATCAGTTCATGCCATGATTCTGTCGCTTTCTCATTTGGTCCAGTTAATAACGGACGCAATCGCATGAATCTCTAAAAAAACTATATTTCATTGTAAACGCTACTTTTTTATCTGCGCAGAAGACTTCGTAAAGCTTTTGTTATTTTTTTTGCTCCATATGACTTCCTTTATGTATACCTCAACTGAAGATGAAAATGAATCAAGAAGCAAGAATTGAGTAGAACGATAGTTTGCATCTAATAATCTCCTAGTCATAGACACTGAAGCTCCCACATCAACTAATGATTCCTGATGCTCATCTTCACGCTGTTGTTGTTCCATTTCAGCTATTTCTACAATTAGAAAATATCATATTTAAAATGAAAGAAGGAATCAAAATAAAGACTTCCACAATAATTGAGTGACTCTAAAGAAAAAATACTGTTCTCATCAAAAGTGGATTTTGAACTTTTATCTGTAAAATATCACATTTACCGATATCGTAAGGTGATCCATGAGCCAAGTGATCTTCACAATAAAAAGACCACAAAGAAATGCTTGCTACACTTGACTGAGGACGCAAAACAGTATGCATTTCAGCAACATACATAAAATTTTCAAATAAAGGGGATCTGAAACAAAATTAAAAAATTGATATCCAAACGCACTTCAGAACAATAGAAGAGCGAAGATTTAAATTACAAGCCATTTGAAGACATACTCATGACGTTTTTCATCAACGTATGTCCATAATGATGCGATGTGCGGTTCCCCGGCTGAGAGCGTAAGTGAATCAAACTTAATTCGTTCCATCTCCGAATCAAGCAAAAATGTACGGAAACACGCAGAAGTGGAATGATAGGCAAGAAAACGGAGGTAAAAATCATTGAATTCGAATGCTGATGGATACTGTTCCCATACCTACAGTGCAAATAGCATAAGACCGATAATATGCCAATTTTCAAAAGCTATTAATTTGTGTTTTGAATCTTGAAATAATATGATGTACCTGATGCACTGCATCCAAGAACAGTAAAAACATTGGTGCAACACCACTACTTTGAGACGCAACTGAATGATTATGACGATGAGAAAAACGATGTCCAAACGCAAGCCATTCTTTTTCAATTAGAATTTGAAATCCTTTAAACGTCCTACAAGTTTCACTGCTTATATAAGATGCTAATCTTTAAAATGTAAATTCTAATTTCGGGCGAAAGGTCAGAGAATGTAAATAACATGCCTGTAAAATGGATCAAGAAGAAGCTCTGATAAAGCCATAAGTTGACAAGTAGCATCCCATCCATCTTCAATACAGAAAGCAACAGTTGAAAGCTGCACATCGATGAGATCGACTACTGCACAAGCCAAGCATAACAATGAAGATACCTGGGAATGTAAAGAAATATAAAAAACAGATTTGAAATTTTCAAACCTAAATATTTCAACAGAAATTATCTGATTACCATATGTAGCCACAAAGAGTCATCGATCTGCTTCAGGAAAGTGAGAGATGGATCATTACCCACTGGCCAACTTGGACACGTTGCACGCAAAAATTTCTTGAAAGCTATTTTCACATTATGTGCAGTAGGATAGCTGATAGGAATGAATTCGCATCTTTTATCTAACTTCAACATCTAAAAACTATGCGGGTAAACAGAAAACTAAGCAAAATGAAGCAAGTAAAAAGTTCTCTTGAATAAAAATATGGTGAAATACTTATCGAAACATAATTATAATCACACCTTGGCTTGGTTTCTGTCTCCTAAAACGTATAATGCCTTCCTGGTGAGACTAATCAGTGGTTTAGCTGACTGGCCTCGACCAAAATTCACCTGTCGTGGTTGTGTATTACTGTGGTAATCCACATAACCAGCAAAACGATCACCATTCAGACCTTAAAATACCAATAAGTTAGTGTTTTTCAAAAGCAGAAAAAAACAAGATGAGTCATACTTCTGATTCCAGACTTTCCTCCACTATTACGGACAAAATTTGCTGCATGCCGAGCAATTTCTGTTTGTGATTTACGATATAGATCAGGCGTTCCAGAATTCAGTGATAATCCATCAGCTGTAACCATTGAATAGAGAGATAATAACGACTCTACTGATTCCGACATCAGGGAATGGCCATCTCCAACAGGCATTCTCGGAGAAAGTGCGGCAAACATAGAAACATACCTCTCCTGAAATTGATTACATCAGATTTCTACTGAATTAACATCGTTGATGTAAATGTGAAATAATTTGAAGCCATAGACGTGCCTGTAATTCAACACTGTTTGGAGTAGATAAATCACGCGAATTCAAAGAAAGATATGAACCACTAAAACCCATATTTTGATTTTCATTACCACCAAGGAAATTTGCTTGTTTCCTTAACCGAGTAACTACTGTTTGCGCAGTTAATCCTGCACCACGAACAAGCAAAGCGCCACTGTCACTTTTCCACGTTATTACTGGAAAACGACTGTGCCTGAATCCTTTGCTAATTTTTGCAAAGTTATCATCAGGTGTGCTGACAGGCACCACCACAATATTCGGATAACTGCAAACGAAAATAAATTGTGAATAAATCATAAAGCTGATAAAAAAGTTAGCTGTACACAATAATTCGCATTTTTAACACAGTAAGAAGATTTACTTATTTTTACTGCCTAATATTTGAAAACTTATTAAAAAGACAAAATTAAATTGGTTTAGTGTCATTCTAAAGACAACAGTATTCCCCAGTAATATGTTGTTTGACACTGTCTAAAAATTACATCTTCTAATTATGTAAGCGATCAATATAAACTTGAATATGTTTAATAAAATGTGAAACCTTTTGGTAAATTCATAACGACGATTCATATTCATCAATCGAAATACACCATGATTTAAAGATAACCGATCGTAATCAATCAAATAATGACGATGCAAACCACTTGTTGTTGGATCCATCATTTCTCCTATTTTTTGAAATTCTTAATAGTTGGAGAAAATTAAATTTTAACAACTATTACCATACAAACAGAATAAAACTTAAAAACAGAAATTTTTCATTGAAAACCAAGAGTACCAGAAACATCTAAATAGTCATTTTTTGAAGAACGAGGTGAGGTGGTGGGAGACAATTTGTACAATATGTTTGCATCACTGCTTTTTGGCATTGGAGGCAGTGCTTTTAATGGAGCTCGAAATCGCTTTCTTTCTTTGAGTGGATTTCGCATTAGCGTCCTCTTCAATTCCCTGTAACTGCATCAAGTAATTGCGGAGAAGCTAAATGAAATACGAATAAAATTTTTTCTATATTTAGAAGGATACAAATAAAGACAATATGAAAATATTAATGCTCAAAAAATTTAGTGCATCAAAAATGAAGAATGAATATTTCAGCTCTTTACTTCATCGTTCCATACTTGTGCTTTGATGTGATACTGTTTAACGTCGATGAAAGCACTGTTGAAGCAGCAGAATAAGCGAACAGTGAATGAGGTAAAACAGAGGCCCATCTTAAGCTAGTCAGAGCTTCTATAAACCCTTCTGCCTTTTCACTGGACACCTCTTCATCAAATGCGAATTTCATAAGCTAAAAACTTCGAAAGCAATTAATGATAAAGCAATAAACGAGGCAACTGTAGCTCATCTACAAGAAAAATTGAACAATTTCAATAAAAGACAAAAATTTACACCAATTACAAGGCAGAAATAAATAAAGACAATGCTCAAGTTGATGACTTACTTGGAAACTTGAGCTTCTTATTTGAAAAGCATCATGTAATTGATGAGCAATGCGAATCGGAATACCTTCAAGCTGAGAACTTTGGGATGAAGCATCTCCTATCGGTTTCTCTTTTGTAATAGACATAACGGTGATAGATCGAACAACGACTTGCTCGCATACTGCAAATACCAAAGTAGTATTCGAAAAAATTCGTCTAGAAGAAACTATCAAAAATTATTGTCCAAAAACCAAAAGCAGGTTCCGTCTAATTCAAAAATAAAAACAATATATGTAACTACTTACAGAATAAATCACAGGGTTGTCCTTTAAATATCACCCGATAATTTGTGAGAAAGATTGCTCCTTCTGCTGGAAGAAGACTTTGTGGTGGCTCTCCAGAAGTTCGTCCCGATATTCTTCCGTCAGCTAACAAAAACACACGCAAACCGCCAGCAACAACACGTTCAGCCGGCAATAACAACGCCGGATGTAACAACTTTGGCTACAAAGAACCGCAATCTAACACATATTAGTGAAGAAAACAGACAAATGAATTACGCTACATATGTACTACATATGATATGATTATAAGTCTATGTACTGGAACGACAAGAATTTCCCAACAAACCTTTTGCAGAGGTGAAAGTCGCTTGCTTTCAGCGTAGACTTGCTCTAGATTATCGATATGCAGTGCAACGAAACCAGGTATTTCTCCACAAAGATTTTCAATTTGATTCTGCTCTAAACCAGTAGATGAGCAGATACGATCGATAAGCCTAGATAGTGTAAAACAAGTACAGATTAAAAAAATTTAGGCTAGTTCATAGTTCACCTTAGTTAATCAACAAAATATGCTTCGTCCTGAAAAAGAGCAAAATAAAATACCAACCTACTAATCCATCGAACGGTAGAGTTTCCCAAATCTGTTGAATCCGACTCAACAAAACCACTTTCAACTTCGCTTTCACTCAATGACAATTCGGTCTCATCATCAAAATCGTGTCTTTTACCATTCTGAACACTTCGCCTTTCTAATTCACGAACATTGACTCGACGTAACTTCGAAACATCTAGTGGTATTCGCATATATACCATCAAGTTGATATAGTGCTTAGCCTAAATGTATTTAAAAACCATAGGAAGTATTAAAAAATTAAAACACGATGAAATATAATTTAAAGTAAATAAAATTTAAGGATTGAGTATCATTCAAAATTTTGAAACACAGAAAAATAGAAAATCAAACATTTGTGACATTTTACGAAATTGATTGCAAAAACAAAATATGACAAATGACCTGTCCATAAACGATCGAATTTTCTTCCACAGCACGCTTCTTGATTTGGTCATCTTTAATATTGGAAAAACTAGCCAACTGATCACTAACCAAATCCATACCAGATGGTTTTTCCATCAAGTTCCATGTATCCGTAATATTCTGAAACCCATACCCTTAACTCATACTGCATTGCGAATAAAAAAAGTGAGTACTTTTCATGGTCATTTAGTGCTAAATGTATGATTTCTAAGAATCATAAAAGTAAAATTTATTAGCATCACTGATCGATATTTCGCAATCTGCACCTCCTTCAAAGGAAATGGGCAATCAGATTCTTCTCTGATTGGTAAGTATAATCGTCTTATTTGTCGATGCACATCGTGAAAAAATGCTGCCTCCCAGAACTGCTGATTACCCCAAACCGCATGCTCTTGAATACATGTATATGCAAACTGATGCACTCCTGCTGTTAAGCGCTAGAAAATCATTGAAATGAGAAGGATGGTGTACTTGAAAATTTGAAGAAAGTTGAATTAGAGCATGGAAAATGTGGAATAACAGACTGACAATACTGACCCTGCAATAAATGTTCGAAAGATATAATAGTGCATACGCGATTCCATGCTCGTCTTCTTTAGACTCTTGCTGAAAATGCTTTGTATTTTTGATCGATCGAAAGATTTATCAAAATCCTTCAATTCGTTTTTATTTCTCTTTACTCAATAGATAATGAGCTTAAATTGATCAATACTGATAAATTTATAAAGATAAATTTTATGCTTTCATAGAAATATATATTCCAGATCGACTTAATCTTCTAAAGTCCTTTCCTTCAAGATAAATATACATACACTGAGAGCGCAGTTCATTAGTCGCACTATTAATTCGAACTGCTGAGGAAGCAATGTGGCGCGACTAACTGGAATAATATTCTTCCAAAGTAACTGACAAAACGCCACACGAGCATTGACACTACGCATCGACAACTCCACTGCACACATTATCTGCAATTTCACGCAACTGAAATCAAACAAAAAGAATTATTATTTCATAGACTTCTAATTAATTTTATCAGTCCAAAATATCTTATTTAAAAATGTTTGCGAAAAATGAACTTTTCTAGCATCTGACAATTTGAGATCGAATATATGATGCAAACAACTGCTGAGAACTTGCAAGCGTCTAGAAACTGCATCCAACCGTTCTTCCTTAGACATAATCCACGGCGTAGCCTGTACACGACGTGGACATAACACAGGAGCCATTTGTTTCAGGACTACTTCTAACTTACTCTCAATCGCCTGCGATACCTCAAAAAATATTTTTTAAGAACTTGAAATTCAGTTAGAGGAAGTATGCAGCAAAATTTGGACTTGTTAATTTGTTTTATATAGCAATATACAGTAATCACCAAATCTTCATTGAAAGGACGTAATTTTGTGGTTGAGAAGGAAACTGTAAATCGTTGCTGTGTTACGAACGGAGTAACTGAAAACGGTGTTTCTTGACGTTCCTGAAAATATCACAACGTCTGATCGTGTGTATGATTTGTTCAGCTTCAAAAATAAATGATAAACCATAAATTAATGCATAGAGATAAATAGGAAATTACATTTTCGAGCAACTTTTCAGCGACTTCAATAATATTTTCCATATTAGTCGCTTTTGAAATAAGTTCACCATTTGACTGTTCGCTTATTTGAGCGACAAGCTGAAAAGATCAAAGGTGGTAAATACTTCAGCAAATTCGAAATTTTACTTACGAGAATACTGTCTTATCTAATATCTTTAATAAATACGCTTTTCTCAAAATGAACCATAAATACATATAATTTTTATCAGGAAATGCTTACTTCATCAAATAAGTCGCAGATTCGAAACGGTAATCCACGTTCAGAAATGAAAGACTGGAAAAGTAAACTGTCAAGGAAAGCACGAATAAGTGGACACGAAGAAAATTGACGTAAACCCAAAAACGCAGATTTGTGAAAGACGATTAATGGTGTTGTGTAAATACGAATAACTTCTAAACAGCATCGATATCCTATCAACAAATTCGCAAAAAAGCAAAGAAAACATGCTCGAATCCTTTTGTCCTGAAACTGCAAAACAAGTGACAGAGAATTTAAACGACACTGAAATCTTACAGTAATGAAAAATCCTTGAAGAATTATTCAGCATTAAAATAAATTTACATGATTTATGAACTGACCTGTACTTCATAAGCAGGAAATGGTGGTTGTCCAACTTTCCATGCATCATCTGCAGTAGCGAGTCCAGGAAAAAGAACCTGAACAAGTGACTAAATTTATGACAACGATAATTTGAAAAATATACAAATAAAACTTGACAACATGTTTTCATTCAATCCAAAAAGAATTTCTTAAACGAGCGAACCATTTGTAGCGCAGAAGTGAGCTGCTGATGAAATGGCTGTGGAATAACGGGTATCGTGATTGAAGGCGGCACACAAACAGCACCAACATCTAAGTCAACCATGACCGCATCTAAGTCAGCACATCGTATACGGACACTGTTCAGCACTCCCATAATATATGGTGTTGGACTTTCCAAGTACTCAATCAGTAATTCAGGTAAAACAGGAACATAAGTATGTCTGAAAATATGACATGAAATTTTCGAATAGCATAAAGATCAGTCTCGAGAAGAAAATCAAAAGAAGATGCGATACAAAGTAAAACAACTCTCGGGAACAGATAAGTTATTGAATCTTAAGTAGAAAATTTATTTCCAAGAAATGGATTAAATTATTATTAATGAGAGGCTGCAAAGAAAAGATTTCAATATAGTTTATTGTTACACAGATAAAATTAACTAACGGGTAATCAAATGGATAAAGAAGCGAACGCAGAGCATAGCAACTATCAGCAAGCAGTGAAAGTGAACTAGATCGAAACAATATTTTGTGATCAGCCATAACCGCACAAAGTAACGTCAGGATGTTGTGAATTGTACCTAAACTAGAAGTCAGTTTCCATTTACAGGTATAAAATCATATATGCATAACACAGAATTAAGACTGGATTACAAGAGGCAATTAGTTAGGATCCTGATCTTTTTATAACAATCAAAACCAACACTAAGCAAAACAAACCCAACTGCTGCAAAAAGAACGTCACTTTATCAGATGTAACAGGTATAGTTGGTAATTTAGGAGCTCGTACAGAAAGGCGATCAGTTCCCAAGCAAAATGACACAGCAGGCATTCCCGGCGTAAGATAAACTTGAGACAAAAGTGTTGCAATCATCAATTCAGCTTTATTTTCTGATTCAAGTAAAGCCATTAATATTCGATTCAAACAATTCTATAATTTTTCCTGTATTAGAGAATGATACTAATTTACTCTAGCAACATGATGTGAATGTAATAAAAAATTAATTAAAAATCAAAAATATTACCCTAAACAAATCAAAGAAAGGGAAACGTGATAGTATCACAATAACTTTAGGTTTAAATAAGCTTGGTCCTTCATCTGATCTTGCATCCTCTACCTCTTCAATAGTGTCACCACAAGGCTCATAAACCTACAATAATTTTTTTTAACAGTTCAAATAAAACTCAAGTCTAGATGTTCATAATACACGGAATTCAGATATTTACCATTTGCTGACAAGATGAAATAAATTTTTGATTTATCCTTTTAATAAGAAGCACCTCACAAAATCAAATGCTATTGGATTGATTAAAAAAAATGGAAAGAATGAAAATTTTTAATTTAGACAAAAAACCTGTAAACAGGAAGCATACTGTCTGGCTCCCATAATATCTGTCAGTGTATTGGCAAAGAAACAAACGGGACGCATTTCCGTCGATAGCGCCCAGCCTTGTGGTTGAGAAAACTGAACATTTTCATAACTATTAGCTTAAATATTGGAACGAATTTATCTCATCATATTCACTCTAGTACAAATTTAAAACGCAATAATGGCTTGTAATTTAACCAAGTGTAGCAAATTAAGGAATGAATCAAAACGTCAAAGTTCTCACCTTATTTATTCCCATAAATATGAATAACAGAACCAAGATGCAAGAGCATCTAACTTCTATAGCTCAAGAGTCTATATCCGAAAATTTATTATTACATTCCTTTAAAATGAAATGAGTTAACTTTTGAGGAGAACAAATGCACTCATGTTAAGAGCCGGAAACAAAAAAGAATCTAAATTTTCCGAAAGGAAAATTCACAGCTTACCACTTCCAAACTAGGCGACAAAGATATATCTGGCCAATCATATTTTGGAAAGCGTTGCACAATGTTGCCCACACTGCTTCCATGCCCTGAAAACCAACCTTCATGCTATTTGCAATAATTTTCAAACGGCGAAATTATTGTCATGATATTAGAAAACAATACCTAGGTTAAAGTCATAACGCTCGAAACATAAATTCAAATAACTAAGTCTACATTTAAAAAATGGCTGCTCGTCATGACATTAAAAATGTAACTCACGACTTTGAGTTTCATCAAATTCAATGACCACAATGTAATCAACAAGACGCGTACTAGTCCCATCACATCCTGACATTACTGCCGCTTACAATACATTGGCATCATATAACACTGAAAATTCCAGTAATAATAATTAACTGCAATCAACTTAAAATAAATATTAGAAAATACAAATCAATACTCAAAATTATTGGAAAAACAGTATACAGCGACAAAAAGAGAGTTAAAATATTTGATTAATCTCTTCAGCTATGAAATAAAAAATTTATTTTGCAACAGATAACACAGCAGAAAAGAAATCGGCGAAACAGAAACAAATATGTGCGATAGCAATCTGTTCTATTATTCTTGCTTATTTTCTCAGCATATTGTTATATTGAATTGACAATTTTTTTGCCTTCAGTCAACTTTTATTTTTTATATGACTTATTTACTGCTTAGTGATAATTTTTTGGAATAAAACGACAGTTATGAAGCATGAATTAATGCATCTGTTCAATCTCATAACTTATTAGAGCTTTTAATACCAATTCTTTCGATAGTATTAATAATTCAACTATTCTGCTTTAATAGAAGTAAAACTATTAGAATTTGAAAAGCTTGAAATTCATATCTACGAAAAAATAAATAAATAAGTAAATGAATAAGTGAATAAATAAATAAGTGTGCAATAGTATTAAGACGTAAAAAGTAGCAAATATATTGCAGAAAATTTTTGCGGGAATATTGCGGATAGAAAGCGGATGTGTAGAAAAGTACTAGACAGTGTTGTATTTGAAGAGAAGTGAGGGTTTGCTATGGTTTTGAGAGAAAACGTGCGCAGAGAAAAGTAAAATTTAGGAAAGTATTGTGCACACTTTGTTACAGAGATAGGGAGTAAAAAATTAGCGTGATGGCAGACTTGAGAGAATAAGTGAAGTGATTACTTTGAACAAAGAAATAAATGAGTAATTAGATAGTTTAGAGGTTGTTCAGCAATTTTAAGCAGTACGATGTGAGAGGCGTTATTTAATTTTCATAAGGATTAGTTGGCATTTGTTGTTAATTATTTATGTGAATTGCAAAAAATAATTGTTAAAAAAACCAATTTTAGATTGCTTTGCGAATTACTGATAGTTAGAACTCATTTATTTCATTAAAATATAATTTTTGATTACGATTTCATCCTATCAAATAGCTTTCACTAAATATCTTATTTATTATTCAATTAGGTAAGATACGGTAATTTATCAGTTGATATTCTTCATTATGATATTGGACACATTATTGCTTTCTGATCATGATGAAATGAAATGTAGTTTTCAAAAATTGCAGTTTGACCATTGTCATTTGTCGGTATAATACAGGCGGAAAAGTATACTGCTGTAGATCTATACTTTTTTACATGACTGTAATTTTTTTTCAGAGTAAAATATGCCATGTTGATGATAGCGTTTGCACTATCATTATCGTTATCTGTTTTAACAGGTTCGAAAGTATCTAAGATTATTAGTGAATTGCATTTGACTGAGGAACATATCCAGTTTTGGCTGAATAGGGATAAATATCTCCATGATTTGTGTGCCAGTGATCATGTTTGCTATTTGAAGGTTGCACGCTTTCGATGAAATTTTCTTTAAGAAATATTAAATAAGACTTAGTTTACTGATTAACTTGCATTACCGAATAATCTGTGTTTGCGGTTGTTGTAAATAATGGAAATTTCAGTGACTTAAATGAAATTCTGAAGTTTTTCCTGGGAACTTGATGTTTTTCGAAGAATTAAAACCTATTTTTTTCATTTTTACCTGTCTTTTGCATTAAAAAGACACTTATGTAGTAAAATCTGGTTTAAATATGTTTCCAAATGTCCACTACCTTATATCAGTTTTTTTTTTCTATTAAAAGTGTGCATTTCACATGTACTGCTTATAAAATAATTTTCCTTCTAGCTTACAGCACTTATCAATGGTATTTCAGTATTTGATTAACAATAAACGTTGTTGGGGTTATGAACCAAATTGTGACCGGAGTAACAGTTATTCGTTTCAAAAAATAAAATGTTTGGAGACAGATTATTGGTTTGTTCTTATCAATTATTATGTTGTACTCATACAATTTTTAAAGGATGTACTGTATGCTATATAGCTTGTTCTTCGGACACAATTGTAATATTTGTATTATGATAGTTTATTATTTATTACAAATTTTGGATCGAGTTGTATTTGACATCGAACAGTTTTTGAGAAAAAAATATGATGTTAGCAGTCAGTGGGGTTTTATTTTTGTGTCTAAAATTTTTCTGGTATTTTAAATTACAAAATTATTCTGATGATTTTAGAAAGCAGTATGCGAAAACTTGTCCTTTGTATATTTATTAGAAATTGACTTTCTTTATCTCTTTCTGTCTCCGAAATCATAAACAGTTTCTCTATCAAACTTGTTTTTCAAATGATACTGGACTTTCAATGAAATCAATAAATAATTTGAATGAAATTTGCAAAAGACATTTGCATTAGAATTTTAGGAATCCGGGTACTTCAGAGTCAGTACTGGATATTTATAAAAAACAAGGCGATTTCGAGAAGTTGAAAGAAATTCTGAATACTATTAAACCGATTTGCAGTTCAAACAGTGCAGTAAGTAACTGCTTCTGCTCTTTGAATCTAAGCTTTTTCATTTTAAATTCTACTCATGCAAATCTGTCATTTTCGCTTACAGGAAGGAAGCTTTCTGGAATGCTCCGATCACTTAAGATTTTGTCGAGCAAGAAATATTTATTTCAACTTAGAAAATTTGAACGCTCAAACTTCGAAAAGGTAAGAATGAAGTTTTAATTTTTAACATGCTATTTTCGCCTCTAAATCTTTTTGTGCATCAACAGTGCTGTTAGCAATTGTTGTCAAAGTATTCAAATTTCCTACGTGTTTGTTCTATTACTTTTAATGATAAAATTTCAACTTTATGTCAGTTTAAGATATCGTAATGATGTTATTCGGGAAGGCGAAGTCGGTGGTAAATGTGATTTGAAATTCGACAGAAAACTGTTATTGAGTAGACTAGATGAAAAAAGTTATTTGCAGAGTTGGTTAGTTTTTTTTTGAAAGAAAAAAAACCCTGACAAAGTTTTATTTTCAGGCATATTGAGTTTTTTCACTTACTTTCTGTAGATCTTCTTTTACTAATTTTCATAAAATTAATTTTATTCAATAACAATAGCACAGAACAGCTTCTGGTGTTCAGTGACATTTTTTAATCATCCTATCATAATAAATATCCATAGTATGCAGGGCTCATGAATTGGAAAATTTTGTATCTTATTCTGGTTTTCGAATTGATAAAGAACATTGTGATGTAATTTTCGAGAATCCGACGGTGCTGATAAAATTGGATGCGTCAGTTAGCATGTACCACCACTTCTGTGATTTTATTAATCTTTATGCAAGCCAGCATGTTAATGGTTCTATTGATATGAATATCGACATTATGTGGTGGGATACAGTTAGTCTTCCAATCGCATTTTTGAAGATTTTTAAAGATTAAAAAGATAGCAAATTGCACTGCATCTCTGATTGCTGCAATATTAAAAATAAATTTATAGTTTACTGAAAAATAGTTCCGAAAGAACATAGGATATTAGCATAGCTGTTTACTGTCAGTTTGGAAATGAAATGTATTTAGTGGCTAGGAGGTTTTGTGGATTCCTTATTTGGAGAAACATGGAAAGCTTTCACTATTAATAAACCTTATGAATTAATTAATTTTGACAAAAAAACAGTTTGTTTCCGGAATGTCATGTTCTCAATGCTTGCACGGCAGAGATTTGGCTTGTACTACAATATCCCATTAGTAAGTAATTATTACAATTCATCATTTACTCAAATGTCCTTTGCCAAAGTTAGGAAAGCTAAGAAGTTGTGAAAGTTAACTTTTTTATAAAGAATGTAACTTGAGAATTTCATGTACAGTATGTCGAAAATTGACTCTTTTTCTTCTACTATCCTACTGTTTCAAAACAGTTTTTCCTTTTGTAATTTAAGGCTGTGCTGAGTCAAATCATACGATGCAACCAATCCAGTTATTTATGTTAGAGAAACTCTGACATAAAATATGAGCGAGATTAGACTTAGTTGTTGAATTTTCAAATTATCTCAGGTTGATGGCTGTAGAGGAAGTGGTTTGTTTCATGCATTCTCTCAGCATATTCTTAATCGACTATCTATCCGGCAGCATGGACCGATATTAGATAAAGTTCGTGTAACTTTACTGTCAAGAAGCACTCCGTTTAGGAGGATAACAAATGAAGATGAAGTAAGCTTCGCTTTCTTCTACATTTTTGTAGTTTACTTTTAAATAAATTTTTCAGCTAATTTTGTTTTTATTTTCTCAAAAATTTAGTATCGTCTTGTTCTGCTGTCACATTCCAAAATTATGTAAATAGTGAAGAAAAACTTGGAGATTCCATTCGCTAATTGCACAAACCATCCTTGTAGCTATGATTTCCACCGCTCGTTTGTACACCAATAGATGCATTTTCAATTTCACTTTCTTCGAATGTTTCCACTTGTTTTAATTCAATAGGGACGAGCACAGTCTGAATAATAAGAATAAGACTGACTGTTTTAATATTAAGAATAAGACTGACTGTTTTAATAATAAGAATAAGACTGACTGTTTTGTAAAAATATTTTTATAAAACAGTCAGTCTTATTCTTATTATTCAAATTTATACTATGCATTATTTAAATTTGTTTACATTTTCGAAAATCATTTGGCAGTACATATTTCACCTAGTGCTCAATCATCTTTGAAAAATAATTTCATTTCTATTTCTTTTTTGTGACTAACTTGTTGTCCGATAAGGGGCTGTGTGAAAAAGTATCCACGTGTTACTCGATCTGTTTGAATTAGTCGCAGGTTTTTGAAAAGTATATTTAGTATACCAGCACAACAAAGCGCTGAAAATATCATTTATTATCGATACAGAAAAATGGTCATACCATTTACTGAAAATTTGAAAAGTATTTGAGAATCTGCAGACTGCATCTACTAAAATCTTTGGAGATTTCATCTATTTTGCACATATAGTTTGAATAACATCTCTTCGTACGTAAATGAGTTATCTTGTGAGTTGGTAATTATAATGTATTGATAATGAGAAAACTAAATTTATATGGAGTACATTACCTTCTACAGGAGAAAGTACCATATGCAGACTGTACATAGCGACTCGTGTATTTGAGACTATTCGATTAATTTCTAATAAATTATCCTAAAGTTGAAGATGATTATGAATGGAAATTTAAACTAAGTGCTCAAAAGTTTTTCTAAACATTATTGAAGAAAGAATTTATTTATAAGATCTTGAGCTTGGGAATTTGCTAAAACAATAAAACCTCGTAAAAAGACCATCCTTGACCTCTAATTTGCTTATCTTCGCCATAAATCAGATATGCTGTCCAAATAAATACTGTTACAGCAACAATGAAACTGATACTAGTAAATATTATACAAAGCGTCTAAAATATATTTATATAAAAATGACTGAAGTTAGGATGTAGTAAATAATTATCATGACATGTGTTATGAACGATGTTCATAAATCTTCCAAATGTTTTTTCACTTTTCCAGTCAATATTATAATGATCATAATTTAATTAATTAAATATTGTTATGAGCTGCTTCATTTGGCGAATGTAGGATTGTAATCCCTTACTACATACAAATTAAATTTTTACCAAAAATGTTCGTGTCGGTTTATATCTTATGAAAAATAATACAGTGGAAGAATTCGACATGAATATTATGCTCGCAATTACAGCGAAATAATAAGGGCATCCATCATAAAAAACACATATTATACCAAATATCATCTATAAATTTATTAAAAATTCTTCTAGGCATTAGGATTTTTATTGGAATTATTTATTTTAAATGTAGATTGGAGAAATAACTTACTAGCTGAAGCGCTGCACCAAAGGCTACAAGAGTTAAGGTGAGCAAGGTTCGTGCTTGCATTAATACAACTTGGTTTGTGATAACCTGATCAATCTGCAAGTTGTTAATCTCTTTCTGCAGGGTTTTTCGTTCTTTTAAGTATGGTTTAAAGTTTCTAACAAAATGTAGGAAATTCTAGATTCTTAAGAATTTTTTTTTTCAAAAGTAATAATATCAGCATACATGAAATGATGGAGAATTAACGGTCCCTTTGGATGTTGAACTTTCAACCATCTGATTTACATTATGAATATTTGCAGTTCTACGTACTGAAACTTGACAAGTACTATAAAACTTCAATTTAAAGGAACTGTAGTTGAATTTTCTGCGCATTTTTTAAAATGTATTTTTCAGTTGAAACAGAATTAGTCATGTAAGATAGTATTACAAGAAACTCAGAAAACAAATTGAATTTGATTTAATTGAGTAAACGAGACTTTTCAAAATTCTTATATCTGAGGATATCAAGAACGGATGGTTTCGATTTATGTTTTTTAGAAAGTATATGTTATTAGTTTGCAGTCTTTATTCTGAACAATATTACTTATTTAGTAATTCATAATTTTGTACACGTCGTGCATGCTGCAAAGATTCTTCACTTTTTAGAAATCAGATACATTTGGTGTCATTGGTTACCTGTAGATTTCGTTGTAATGGTATCATCAGATTCCACTGTTGTAGTTGAATCAGTATGATTTCTTTGATTACTAGAAGCATCAGTCAAGTGCTGCAGTCCATAAGTATCACGATAATAAACATTAGGCGGGAATGATCCAACTGGCTAGAAAGATGAGCAGTGTAATTTTAATAAAATTAGTAATTTTTAACGTATTATGATAAATTTTCATGAAAGCATGACACATTTTTTGCTGTTAGTCAGCATTTGTTATCATCATTAATTCTTGTTTGATAACAATTTAAAAAAAGGCATATTCACTGGAATGGTAATAAGATTATGTGATAAGTTGATAAAAACTAGTATTAATGATAGATAGTGCGCAATGGAATAAGTGAGCTGATTTGAATAACTGAAGCAAATGATATAGGTATCGAACCAGATTATTTGAAGGGGTTCGATAAGGAATTGGTGCAGCCATAGTAAAAGCATAAGGGAATATTTGCGGTGATTAGCAGATTGGCAATAAGTTCATGCAGCGCGGTAATTCTAATATCGACTTGACTTCAACACATTCGTTCGAAAACGATTCGCCCATCAACAAAGGCTGTAAATTCTTTCAACTTATTAATGATTGTTCCTGTACTGTATTAATCATTGAAGAGTTTTTCGATCAGAAATTAATAACACGTAGAATTTAACCCCTAATTAGTAAGGCTTCAAAATGTTTATGAGTTAGCCTTAATTGAAGTAGCGAAAATTATTCTAACAAAAGTAGACATAAGATACAGAATGAAAGTCTATGTAAATATGATAAGAGAATCAGTTGTTGACAAGTTGAAACTTTTATAAATCATGTAATTATAGTTGTTGAGAAGTGAGAAATAAAAATAATTTTTATAGTTTTAAAAAACAAGTAATGTTCTGGATGTAATTGAACTGAAATTGAGCTACAGTATGTAATGGAAATGGAGCATTACATTTTAAAAGTTGGTCGAAAGAGTAAATAGATGCTCTGATGAGCATAAGTATATAGAATAATGAGGCATATATTCAGTTTTAGGACAGTAAAAAAAGGTATATGAATGGAATTTTTTCATTAAGTAAAGATTATAACTTATATTAACTAAATTGAAATTACTGGATTAGGTAAAGCTTAACGATAATACGTGTGAGAGATGTTTGAAGGTGAATAATGGTAGGATTATTTAAAGAATAAGGAAGAGGGAAGGTGCAAGAGAATGTAAAAGTTTCGTTCACATTTAAAAAGTGATCAATTTTACTGATATTGATGTTGATGGTGATGTTCTAGAATGTATGATTGGGGAAGTTCGGAAGTTAGTTTCCTCTTTTCATAGCATCAATCGAGAGATGACAAAAAGAATGCAGTAGTATTAAGATGCATTAGTGTACTGACAATCTATCGTTATCCTGCTTACTTTCCCATTTTTCAATGATGATTCAACCATTCCTAGCTTAATCTTCAACTTTACGATACATTGATTGATGGTTGTATAGATAGTTAAGGGAACCGATAGATAAGATAGATGGATAGATGGATAGATATTGAGTTAGGTAGATAGATAAAAATGTGAGTTGGTGGATATATAGTTAAACGACAGATAGAGGAATAAAGAAAGGAGTGAATGGGTAAATGGATGAATAGATTGTATATAGTATTTAAATTTACACCAACTAAAAATTTAATATCTTGCTTTTTCTCTAGTTTTCTTCTTTTATTATATTATGCCATATGCCAGATATATCGGATTGTTTCTCTTTTCCCTCATGTATATATTTGCAGTTAACTTATATAAGGTAAAATTGACTGTAAAAAGTCAGTATTAACTGTATTAAATTATTGTACAATGCACTGTCTTTTTCATTTATTTCCTAAATAAATTTTTATGATATAATTAACAGTGCATAGTGTCAATGTCATTAGCATAGGTTGCTTACAACTACTTATTCAACTTGTTTTACATTCTTTTTTTTCTCTAAGAGAATTTTTTATTTTTAAAATATTTTAAGCAACATTTTATGTTTTAAATGCCTTTTTACTACTTGAAATATTATCTTTTTCACTAATTTTTGAATTATTTTCCATACATCATTATTCATTTTTTGCAGCTTGTTAGGATATTGTACACTATTCCAAATGTTATTGTGAAACGAGTTAATTATGACAGGTTTGTATTTGTTTACTTCTTGAATCTCATCGTTATTCAACTCTTGAAATGAGTGACTAATCTAAAGTTGTTTCAGATTTAAATCATTTCAATTAAAATCAAATATTTTCTTATGTATGTGTATGTATTCATCATTTGCTACCTATCAAGCTTTTGCAAAATTTCTAAATTATGTCTGCTTCAATTTTCTCATATCAGCGAATCTTTATAACTGTGGTAATCTTCTAAAAGAGTCAGTAAATATACTCATTGCAGAAATATTTCGTTTTTACAACAACTGGAGATAACGCATAACAGTGATATATTCATTGGAATGCATGGCAGTGGTCTAACACATTTACTCTTTTTACCAAATTGGGCTGTTGTATTTGAATTGTAAGTCTTTATTTTTACTTTCAAAGTAAGTTTATATCAGTCAACTTTTCAAATTATTAATCAATTAGCAGTTGTGCTATAACAATAAGAACTAGTCTATATTGTGGTCATATCGTATTCATATCAAGTTTGACACATTGATTATGATGGGGTATCATATTATTTGGTGAACAATTTTGGATATATATGAGTTGAATAATTCTTAATAGCAGTTATCAATCGTATATATGTAAAGCTTGTTTTAAGTCATTTCAGAATTGATGTAAGCCTTTAATTTAATTTATTGTAGAAAATAGTTCAGGTCTGGTACTGTTTTCTCTTTTTTTCAAAAAACTTACATTGTTCCTTCTTAATTTTTAATTTATCATATGTATGGCTCTATTGCATTATAGTCATTCACGAAATTGCAATACTGGGATAATTGTAAAACGAATGGGATTCTTTATTCTCGTTTCATATTTTCTGATCTAATTTATTTACTTCTTGTAGGATTATGATTTTATTTGTGGTGGTTATTTGAAGGTACAATTGTGGCGATGTAAACTGTTACTATGATTTATCACGTCTTCGAGGTGTAAAATACTTTACATGGATGAAGAGTGACAAGATATTTCCAACTGATAATGGTGTTCATCCGCAAACTGGTAAACCTCATAAAAAATTTCAAAATTATCGATTTGATAGGGATGAATTTCGCAGGCTTGTACTCATGGTATGTATGATTTTTTACTGTATCAGAGTCATTACAAATTATAACGGTTTAAGAGATCTTTTCAGACATGATATGTATGTTATCGAAACAAATTGTCTGAAGGACATTTTTCTACTTGTATAGTTGATCTACTGAAAATGAAGTTATTTTGTTGTTGCGGGATTTTGAGAGGAAAGTAAGAATGAAGACAAGATTCATCCACTTGAAATGAGTTTGTTGTGTTTTTCAGGAAAAAATACTGTAATTAATTCATTTTAGCAAGTAAAATACGTGCAGCACCATCCAGAATATAATTTACGTGTATGGAGGAATGAAAGAAAAAAATACAGTGAAGAACTGTGATGGAGTTGAATGAATGATGTTTCCCTAACTGATTAAGGGTTTTGTTGAAGGATGTCTGCAGGGTTTTTGTGGCCTTCTGTTAGTTTATTCTTGCAAGAAAAGTTTGTTTCGAAAGTCCACTGTTCTTTCTTCTTCCCAGTAATGGTTATGTAAAATAACTAGGCTGTTCTTTTTTGCTCATTAGATCAGTTAGTGCTTGATTGATTGAATGTACGCATATAAATAAGTGTTATTTTTAATTTATCAGCCAGAAGTTTTCAATTTTATGGGCCGTCTTGACTGTTCTATTTTGGTTTAGTTTTGTTCAGTTGGTTACTTTAATGTATTTATCACTATAAATACATTAATTTTATCGTTTTATCATTAAGTCAGTTTTTATACTGTATTGCATAAGCAGGAAAAGATGATTGCAGAGAAAAATTTCGCCAGTATTTTATGCAATACATTATTAATCTCCTATACTTGTTTTACAGTAATCTATTATTATTTATTTACTAGAAATATTTGATTTGGCATTAATTTATGCATTCTTTGAAAATTTTTTGTTACTTGTTATGAGTTTTTCGTTACTCGCAGTGAATAAAATTGTAGCAGTTGAATAAATTGTTCATTTTTTAATGCTACAGTAATATAATTTGTTATTTTCTTATTATGATAACAAGCTTGCATTAAATTGTATCTTGGAGTATGCAAGATGAGTAGAAGATATAATTGCGGAATGTATTTTTGATTTTCGGTTATGTATACTTATTTGTCTTCTATTACGTCTTTTATTAAAAGGAGTTACAATATGTTAGTGATTTATGCATTCTCATTGATAAACAGCGGCATTTAGCATAGGAAACTGTAATTTTATTGCAAATGAATATAGTCTTGGACGGAAATAAATTTTAAAAAAAGTGCAGAAGTTAATATTGCGTTAAGTACGGAAAAAACACACATTATTCAAATTTTTTCAAAAATGGTAATTAAGTTGTCAACGAATAAATTCTTAATCATTGAATGAGTAATGAAAAAAAGTAAGGAAATGATGCATACGTTATTTAGACTAAATTTCTATCAGGAACGACTAATAATGTATATATATGAATTTGACAGAAATTTCTTTGAGATCTAGCTTAAAGTGTTTTGTTGAATAATTTGGATAATGCATGAATAGAGCTTTTTCTTCCATCTGTGTTAAATTATTTTTTCAATATCATGAAAAGTGAAAGGTGAAAGTGTAGCTTTAAAAATGTGAAAAATGGCAGTGAATTATATAATGTTATTTTATTACTTTGACTTTACCTTATTTGCAAAACGAAAATTATATATGTGACATGAAATTCCTCAAGAATATTTCAAGATGATATAAGTAAAGAAGAAGGATAAAAGGATGATAAGCATATATGGAAAAATTCTTTAATTTTTATTCTTATTTAAATTTATCCTAAATAAAATAATCAGTTAGGGAATATATGCATAATTTGAATGATCTCCAAGGCTTTGTTGATATTTTTTGTCTTTCAACTTACTTTTTATTTGCAAAGTGTACGTCATTTTATTTATTTACTTACGTTAAAGTAATGTTATGAGTCAATTACATACATTATTTAGACTAAGTTTGTATCAGAAACGACTAAAAAATATAAAAATAAATTTATTTTTTGTGCTACTAATGATCTGTATGCATTATTATTTCATTCCACGTTTAATTTTAATTTCAATTTAGCTATGCTTACTTGAGCATTCTAATTAAATTTTTCCACTTTAATACGAAAAAAAAAAGATCAATAAACTTTGTTTTTAAATATTTTGCACTGAAGTCAATTTTTAAAGAAATATGCCAAATTATTATTTATCATAGTACAAAACGACTAATAGTTTAGACAGCTTTTAATAAAAAGGCGTGTGAAATAAGTGAATAAAGTTATTAAAGTTCATAAATTTTTATTGTTAAAAAAAGAATTTATAATCGAGAAACTATGCAATAAAATATCAGTACAGTGTATAAATTTTAACATGTTCTATAAAAGTAAATGTTTATCTTAAATTGTTGAAATAAAAATTTTAATGGCTTTTGGTCAATAAACTTTTATGTTAGCATCAAAACTTAACTTAAATTAGACATGAAAGGAAATTTAAGCTCAAATCTTAGAAACGTTACTTTTATCAAAAACATTTTACTTCTTTTTTTTAGACATTACTTTTCTCTTCAGTTTCCTCCTTTCTCACTAGCATGCCAATTTTTTCTATTTTCTTTTTGAATTAAGAAGCATTACTACAGTTAGTGTTATGCTACTTGCAAAATATTAAGTTATAAAATTTGATAATTAATTCAAAATTTTCTTTAATTTCTTCAATTGTTGAATTGAAATTTTGCTCGAATATTATCAAAAAACAATATATTTGAAGTTAAAAATTTTTATTACTTCAATAACATTTCTCATTCAGTATTTTAATCATAAATTTTATGATTAAAGAATTTTTTTTTAAATGATTATTTCATAGCTATCTTTAATCTATCACTGACTTTAGTTTGCTAAATTATTCTTAAAAAAAATCAAATTTTTTGCAAAGAAAACTTTGATGAGTGAAAAAAATTGTAATGAAATTAAAAGCTTTTAATGTTTTTGCCTCAGAAGTTTTATTTTGATTGATCTTGCATGCAACGTTTGTTCTTTTTTTCAAGCATAAATAAAAATTTTATATGTGCTATATTCCATCTCAGTAATTCACCAAATATATATTGCACATTTTTCATATTTTATAATCAGTATTTGTACTGCTAAATAGAGTATTATAAATTTAATAATTTTCTTTTAAACAATATTTATGCTTAATTATTTATAAAATTTATATATGCATACCAATTTTAACTGATATATGCTATAATTGCTTACCATTTATTTCAGTGCTATTTATAAAAACTTATATTTCAATGTTAGAATAAAATTTATATAATTTTTTTGTTCTATTTTTTTTTTAGTTTAAAACTTTTTTGTATTATTTATTTTAAAAAAATGAAGTATATTTTGGTAAAATTGAATTGAATTATGCATTTTCAGTGACTATCAAAATATAGAATATCTGTGTATTATAACTTTGTAAGAAATATATTTTTCAATTTTAAGTATTATGTAAATGAATAGATTACAAAACTAACAACAAATTAGGCAATCATGAAAATCTTTTCATTTTACTTATCATAAATTTTGAAAATTTATATGAAAAAAAACTTCATAAAAAAATCAAACTAATATATGACAATTCATCCCCTTAATTTTGTAAAAATAGTAATTTGTGATGATTTGTGATTGTATTTTATTGTTTTTATTTTGTAATTTGTGATTGCATTTTATTCAGTACGTAATAAAATTGTACTTCACATTATAATCAAAATAGTCAAAAAACCCGAGTGTATAATCAAATAATTCATAAAGTTATGTGATAAGAAGTGAAGTTAAAATTTAAAATTATTATCCATTTAATAACAAATCTTGAAATTTCTCCAAATTGTTTGAAATGAATTTAGGAAATAAAAATTCAAATTGAAAGAATGATATTGATTGCGTGAAATTTGATTAGTTATCAATTAAACTTATAATATAACTATTAAAGACTGATTACACCGTTCTTTTCTTAATATTATATTTGAAAATATCCTTTAAATTTGAAATTTCAGTTTGCAGATTGCATCAGTTTAATATAGTTGTTTGCTGATTATTAAAAGTTATTTAATATTAATTATTTTTATTTACAGGACTGTACTTTCACTTCATAGTATGAAGCAATTTAAACATATAAAAAGTCACTAAAATCTGTAATGAAATTCTTGCTAATTTGAGATTTAAAGAAAACAATCACTTGCATATTAGAGATTAAAGCAGAAAACTGTTATGGCGTATTTTAGTGAAATTCATAAATTATATATTTTGTTAATTCAGTACAAATTTGGTACTGAATGTCAATTAATAATGCTTGCAATGTGATAATGCAGCAAATCTCGAAGTACTACTTATACATTTAAAAGCATCTGTTATCGAAAATATGAATCTGCTCATTATCAAAGTACTGCATTGAAAGCAAAATCAGAAGTCATGTTTAAAATGTGCTTTTTGCTTCATTTTATTTAAATATTTTTTACAAGCACTGAATAATAATATACTTTCAGCATATTTTATTTTTTCATTAAAATATTTATGAATGTCAAAAACTTTAATGATAACTGTGGATTAGAATGTATTTTTAATTCAATCACTTGTCGTAGTAGTAATAATAACAAGTGCTAGCTAGCTGCATGATTGAAGTAGTCAAAAATTTTAATTCTTCTACTTAAAATTTTTATCCAATTTGACTAATCACTCAAGTTTTCGTTTTGAAATCTGTACTAAACTGTCATAAAAATTATGATCATATTTTTATAAGTATTTTTAGTATTAAACAAAAATTATTATAATTTTACTCAAATTATTTAAAGATAGTTTCAATTTTTTTCTATTATCACAATAAAAAACAGTTTAAATAGTCAGTACATGCTTGTATTTTAGCATTAATCTGGTGTAAACGTTAAATATCATTCATTGTAGCTTATATTATGAATGAAAAATTCATTGTTGGCTATGCGCATATACATAAATTAGTAGGTGTTTTTATTCTGCAAAAGCTTCCATCATTTATAACAATTCATTATTATTTACTTCATAGCACTACAGTACATGATAACTGTATTCCTTTATTAGCATTTGTTTTCAGATAATAATATATGCAACTATTGTTTATAGTATGATAAATTAACAAAAAATGAATATAATTTCGTCTGAAAAACATAATTTTACTGGGCTTTATTTATTCAAAAATAATGCAAAAAGAAAAGAACATAAAGACAAATATTGATAATTTTATAGAATTATAAGCATAATTTACTAGAGAATATATATGTAAAGAACTGAAGCAAATATTTTTGAAACCTTAATTCAAAATGTGGGATGCAGAATATCTGTAAGTACCTATCATCGTCAGCAAATAAAAAAATGAATAAAATCTCATTTATTCACACATTGCTTTTTTCAAAATATTGTCACTTTCAGTCTAAAATATGATTGAAATGAGTTAAGTCAGGCCTTTAGGCGATGAAATTAATAATAATATTATTATTTTTATTTTCATTAATATTATTACAACTGCTTTTTAACAAATTTTGAATTGTGATTTCCAGCTTAATTTTGATAATCGAACAGTTATTTGTAAAATAGTAAAACGGTTCTAGAAATGTCTGCTAATTCTGATTTGATCAACGCTTGGGCAATATCAATCATGGCAACGATAGTAAAAGCAGCAAAAGATGGTATTTTAGGTAATGAAACTATGGTTGATTACTTTGGTGAGTTTGATTTTGGATTTCAGTTTTACATAATTCTAATTTTAAGATTTAATATATTAGAAAAATGATTAGAAACCTTCATAAATAATGATGCAGGTATAATCTGAGTTTTAAAAGTATGCATTTTTGATCATTGAAAAAATTACAAATTCAGCCATTTCAGTATTGTGTTAAAAAATAATATATTTCATTTAAATTAAAAATATTCAGGTATATGAGAGAAAACTGCAAAAATTTTAGGAATTTTAGTATGCAATATATAATTGTATTTCAAGCTGCAAAAATTAATTTGTAAAAATAGTATTTATATTAATTACAAATGAATATTAATTAATTATTTCAGTTTTAATATCGTCAAAAAAATTGAATTTTATTTTGTACTGATAATTATGTTTAGTGTGAATAACTTGTGAAAAAAATAAATTTCAATTAGTTTTCCATAAATGCGAAAATTTTTTCTCTATTTTATTTTGAGTGGATTTGCTATCTACAAGTTTTCGTGAAGCACAAAAACATTCATAAAAGGTAATAAAAACTTTGATTTTTTTTCACTTCAGATAGTAATAACAGCAATACTGATACTAATAATGATGAAGGCGAAGAATCAGCTCGCAAATTAATTCGTCTTGTTTTTAGTGTGTCTTATTTTATACTTTTCTTATTTGGAACATTTGGGAATGGGTATGTGTTACTCTAAAAGTTTTCATTTATGTAAATATTTTTGATTTGTATATTATTGGGTTTGCAAAAATGTATTTGCATAAAAAACTATACTTGTTTGCATAATTATTATTATACTTGGTACCTAAAAAACTTTTAATCTAATTAATCTTTATTCAATCATTTTCAATTTTCAAAATACAAAAATAAATATTTAAAGATAATAATACAAGAATATTCTTGATTTCAGCATTGTAATAATTATGATTGTTAACGTGATGACTTCGGCCCAAAAAAATAGATCAAATATAATTAAAGCTAATCCAAGCAGTACATTTCATGTTTTTATTTATGTACTCGGTAAGCTAAAATTTTTTGTCTTTAAAATAGAACTTTTTTTTTTCTTAATTGTTTCCATATTGTAGAAGTAAAATGATTATACTGCACTGTTGTGCTGAATACTAACTTTTTGCTTAATCATTTATTATTCAAGTTATATACCAAATTAGTTATTAGGCTTGTTGAAAAAAAATTTAACATTCTTTTATACTAACTTTTTTTGTTGTAATTTTGAAAAGTAGCCTGAAATTTGTACATTTTTTTAAAAATTTGCAAGAGAAACATTTCCATTTTCTTTCCATAAAAGTCTTGAAATACAAATTGCTTCATAACAACAAAATATGTGACTTTATTTATAACAAATGTAAATAATTTTCATATTTTTTTCGACTAAAAGCAATTAAAACAAAAAGCTTTTTCGGATTTGATAAAAAAAAATGAAGCAAAAATTTTTAATCGTTTTTTTATTTTCACTTTTTTATTTCCACTCATTTTTGAGTGCTGTAAGAATATTTTTATTATTGCCATTTTTAATAGAAAAAGTTATAATATATGTTAATAAAGTATTAATTTTAATAGCTTAAGTAAAGACAGACATTGTTTAAGCATTAATAAATTTTAATAATTTAATCAGACAAAAATGCGTGTCAATAAAATTTTGGAAATTTATCAATTTTACAGGTCTCTCGGTGGTAGATTTTTTAGTTATTATGCATTTACCATTTTTAATTGTTGATTTAATGTTTGGGCAATGGCTGTTTGGAAATGTAATGTGTAAATTATATTGGTTTGGTGAAAGTGTTAATAAATTATTAAGCAGTTTTATAATGACTGTACTCAGTTGGGACAGATATTTGGCTGTATGTTCCCCAATGAAATCCATCAGGTTATAATTATTCTATACATTTTAATAATTACAGCTTACAAAAATTTTATTATTATTATTTAAATAAAATATAAATTTTCATAGTGTTACTATTTTTTAATGAAATGAAAATTTTTTACAAAAAAATGGTAGTTTGAAGGCATAAACTATAAGTAAGATTAATATGTAAAATTATTAATTTTATCTGATAAAAAAAAATTAGCTTATCATATTGCAGAATAAGAAGCAATTCAGTTGCATGCCTTGTATTACTGCTTTGTTCAGCTTTAGCTGTGCTACTTTTGTTACCTGTTGTACTGAATGCAAAAGTTGTACATGTTGATGTTCATACAGGTAGTCTCATATCAAGCAATGAAAACGATGCTTTTTATAAAGGTAAAATAACCTTTTATTGTTCTCCAATTTATTTATTTTTTTTAATAAACGGTCAGAGAGAAAATTTGAGTCACTGATAATGCAAGCAATTAGATGTATTTTATCAAAGAGTTAAGTGTACATATTTAAATGACTATAAAAAAGAGTAAAATAAAAATTTACAGATGGCAATGACAATAATCATCAAATAACTCTTGTCAAATGTATATTTGAAGGAAGCAGTCCAACATTTATGTATTATACATTTGCATGTGGCTTCTTGTTACCTGCTTTATTAATCACCTATTTTTATTTAAATGTTATAATTTTATTTTTATCATTTAATTTATGTTAACTTAAAAAAAAGTTAATGTTAATGGAAAAATTTTTTTTGAAATAGGTATTATATTAAGCCCAAGTATTTTATTTTTCAAAATATTTTTAATTAAAAAATACTTTTTGCTTTATATAATAATAATTACAACTATACAGCATGCTTAAAACATACATTATTTATGTATATCTTAAAGGTTATTGCTAAACTACGTAAAAGTGCAGCAAATATCCGCAGATATAGTGAGATAGTTCAGCAACAACAGAATACTAATATGCGGATAAGGCAGGTATATTCTAAATTTCATTTTGAACTATAAATTGTACTAGTTTAATTGTTGAAAAAAAATTTGAAAAATTATTAAAATTATGATTAACCAATTATTTTCAACGAGTAAAAAATTTTAATGTAAAAGAAGGGGTATTTTACATATAATAATAAAAAACTGAAACAATCTTAGATATCATAAATTTTTGAAAGCATTAAATAAATAAATAAATAAATAAATAAAATAATATTACTTTCATGGAACTATTAGTAATTAAAAATATTTTTGCAGGTAATAAAACGCATCGTCACCATGATTTTATTTTATTTTTTTTGTTGGGCTCCACATTGGACAATTAATTTACTGGCACATTTTGGATTAATTGTTGTAAAGCATTTGATTCTAACATTTGCATGCATGCAAAAATTCATTTTGATAATAATAATCAAACCACTAATTAACTGCTCAAAAATTATGTTTTCTTTAGAAATAATATTTTCCAATTTTACGAAAAAATTGCAGTACATCTGCAAAAAATGCAACTATCAACTAGGTAATCCCATAAAGTCACACGGAAATTTTTAATCTTTTTATTCTTGCTATAATAAGTATTAAGTAACTGCTTCAGAATATTGAAATTTTCACTGATGAGACAGCAAAGAATCGTTATGATTTTATTCATCCAATTTTAAAATTTTTTCATCCAATTTTAAACCAGAAAAATGTTTTGATGTATTTTTAGGTTTCCTGGTCAACATTAACATTATCATCAATATTTTTTGCTGCCCATTTATTAGTTTGCTTTAATTCTGCTGCTAATCCAATTATGTACGCTTTAATTAATCATGAGTTACGTCAACAGCACACGCAAGCATTAATTAGACGACGTCGGTCATTATCTAACGTAACAAACGCTGTTTTGGATGTTCACACCAGGCATTCTTCCCACCAAATGTTTTTTGTTTTAAATTAATTTTCATGAAGAAAAAAAGAAGGATCGAAATTTAATCCTTATAATTTATGCAAATCTGATTAGTTTACTTTTCATTCATTTCTTACGTTGAGATTACTTCTATCATTTTTGTTTATTTTTTTTAAATTAAAAATGTTTGCAGGAATATTTGTAATTGTTATAAAAATTGACAACGAACAAAATAAACTTCATTCTTCTATCACTTCAGCTAATGCAGTTATAACAAAAGCTGTAAAATAAGATAAAATCACTATTTGTAATTAAGAAAGCGACAGTTTAATCAAGAATAATCATTACACAAATTTTATTATAGTTTCGTATAAATTAAATGTTTATTTATCTGATAAAACTGATCTTCAAGCTTGTGTTTAAAAAGTGATAATTTCCAAATTGAAATTAGTTCTATATTTTTTTATTACCACTATTTCTATTTGCCATATAATTGCTTTTGGCCAGATTGATTAAAGCTAAATTTGCAGTTATGATTAAAATTTTTCAAGTTAATAAAAAATATATTGTTCCAGATTTATTTTTAAATCTACAGGAAAGATGACAATTCACTTTCACCATTAGCAGCAGTAATGCAGTTCAGTTCACTCAGTAATACGACAACAATTAGCGGTGATGGTGAAACGCCCATAGAATCATCAGCAGCTTCACATCAGCAGCAACCAATAATGAAGAATAATGCAAATCGAACAAATATATATTCAGATGTAATGAATATAGTTAAACCTGTAACTAAAATTGTCATTACAAATTACGCCTTAGAATCGCAAATTAAAATTGAAAGTATGGATTCATTTCTTTGATTATTTTTGCTAACAACTGTTATACTTTGATAAATTGTATGCTTAGACATAAAAAATCTTGCAAAATTTCTATGTTAATACATTTACTTATTTTACAAAAAAATATCCATTTATTGTAGAAATTATCCATTAATAAGTCTAAAAAGCAAACTAGCATTATATTTTCTAGCAGTTTATAAAAATAAATACTTGATGCTATAATAAGATATTAATCCACTGTATAATAAAGTTTTAGTAAGAATCCAAAATTTATGTTTAAAATATCTTCAAATCTTGAATTTCATCCAAAATACAAACTGATATTTATGACTTGAGAAGAATACAAGAATATCCAGTAGTAATTCTAGAAATTTTCAACTTTCACTGATTAAGAAATAATTGTGCAAAAAATTGCATGCATTTATTCACTGTTCTAAATAAATATCATTTCCTCAAACTTCTTGTCCCTTTTCTTAGTCTTTATCTTCTGTACAATTTGATAAAATTTCTGAATAACAAAAATCACTCTTTGTAAAATTATATTTATGCATTTTAAAAATAACTAATTTTATATTATTTTATTATTGAGTTATAATTGACAGCATATGATTTATTAAGTTCTTTTGCATATTAATTCAATGAGAATAAGTTTTGCCCTGCATAAGTTGTCAAAAGTTTGTGCAAAAAATTTGCATAATTAAAACATTTCTTAGCTAATTTTTCATGATATTACTTCCTAATTTATAATTTTTCGTCGCTAAAATTTTAGATGCTATCAAATATAGTTTGCAAATATATTTTTGATCACTTACTAATTTACATCATTTGTGATAATTAGAAATTACCATTTGAATTTCACTCTAAGATTGTATGTTTCAATAAGTTTTAGTCGTATTTTCTTCAAAATTTCAATCTGATCATAAGTGTGATCATTGTTAGATAAAATACTCATTTCGAATTTGTAAAAAAAATTAATGAAAAAGTAATTTCATATTAAATAAATCTTTTATAATCTATTTCTAATAATTTCAAATATTTTGCTTCCGTAAATATTACCTAAACTGCAATCTACTAGTCAAAATTCGGAATACTATGAAACTGATTTGTTTGTCAAAGATCAAAAAATATGCTACAGGTTATTTATTGTTCGTGTAATATAGTAATATTGTATTTGTAATACTGTTTTTTTCTTCTTTTTTTACTATCAGCAATAGATAACATAAAACTTGAATATAATATTTGTAGCAGATGAATCTAATCTTAAGATAAAGTAAAGTGTAGTAAATTCGAAAAGTAACTGCCATGAAATGAACAAAAAACTGCTTTATTTTTTAGATGTTTTCAGTAAAGTAAAGTGAGCTTTACAAGTCATGCTAAAAAGTTTCAAACAATAAATTGTTAGCAGCTGTTTTGTGCTGTAAAAAAAATTGAAAATTAACTTGCATTAGTTAGTTTGTTGATGATATTCCGCTCAACTTTGCAACAACTATCGACTATCAGAGTTTACTGCAAAAATTAATATATATTTTTTACTGTTCCAATTTTGGTTTACACATTTACATAAATATCCTTTTTTGTTATATTTAAAAGATATTGAATATTGAAATACAATGACATGGAATAAAAATAATGTAAGATTCTACAAAATTTTTGCGGTTTTATTTTTTAAATTCCTTTTTTTCCTCTTTACTTATCCTTTTCTACATTTATTTTTTTTTACAGATTTTGATAATTATTTGTCATACTTTTTCATCTGCACACATTATTTATTCTTCAATTTTTCTGCTTTAACTCAACTCAGTAATAAATTAAAAATGTAAGTGTATTATTTTTACCATGAAAAATTGTTCAGTAAGAGTTACACTTTTCAAGCATTATATTCGATGCTTCCACTAGCATAAGCATATTTTCAGACATGATACACCGTCAGAATTGTCTTTATAATTCTATTTTTAGCATTAAATAAAAGTTGTGAATGGTAAATTTAAGAATTTATGGAATAAAATGTTTGCTTTAGCAAACTCTTTCATTCTTTAAAAATTTACTGAAATACCATAATGCTATTGAGGGCAAGTTTGTACGTCACGTAATATTATTGTTTCTGAATTAACATGCATTTTTGATTTTTGATTCTTATAACATTCAGTAAGTGTATTTGAATGTCTCATTTCAGTACTCTACACTGATTACGATATCTTCATAATTATATATTATAATCAAAAATCTTCTAGACCATTTTTATTTATTTTCTCTCATAGAAATGACTTGAATTATTTAAATCTAGACGAAATCTTTAGCACTAATTTTTTGGTAGCGAAATAATTTATTTTTACTCTTAAGACAAGACAAATGATACACTTTTTTACATTTAAAATAATTACAACTGGATATATAAGGTCAGCAAAATTTTTAACTATAAGTTGGTTATATGATGATGTTATTGTCCTTATTATCGTTTTCATTTTACTAACATTGCTTCATTACCATCTATTATTTGTGACAATTTTATTTTTTGTGTGATATAAATCAAATGCATGAATATGTTAAATTAGCAAGCAAAAGATTCATGTAATTTTCACATTTCAAACATATGATGATATACTACTTACTATACAACTTTGAAGGTATTCACTTTGAAGATTACTTTCATAGAATATCACTACTGATTGAATTCTCATTTTCATATTACTCATTATCAATAGAAAATATTAGTAAAAGTTATTTTTGTAAAAAAAACAAAACAGTTCAGAGCAGTAGCATTATAAGTCACTCATCCTGTAATCTGTAATCCTAACAAAAAATAATCTACGCCACATCACTGATTGGATCGTTACCCTAATAAAAGTTAATGGATATAATGTTTTCCAATAAATACTCAAAATTTAATTTAATTATTACTACTTACTAGTAAATATAAATTAGTAATTCATAAAATTAATAGAAAAAAGAGCATAGCATTATAATTGTTCTGTTATTTATTTATCATTCATTGGTGTTAGTTGAGTCAGACTAAATAAACCAAGATAAAAAAAGATCCAAAAAAGAATAAGAGTAACAAATAATAATATATTCGACAATAAATTTTAATATTAAATTTTCTGTGCACAAAATAATATATTAATGACATCTTAGAAATATTTATTTATTTCAAAATATGAAAATCTTTTTTCAATAAAAAATATATAAATGTATGTCTTGAAAATTTGAATTTCAAATAATTTAGCATAGAGTAGATAAAGTTAAATTTCTTACTTGCTATCAAGTTTCAGCATTGTTTATAACAACTGAAAATACAGAAAATAATAGTAGTCAAATCATATTTTGCTAACAATTTTGGATGAAAAATAAAACAAAGCTAATTTAATTTAAACAAGAAAAGTATAAAAAATTACGGATTCAAAAAAGAAAAGCATTATGCATTCTCAAAATTATGTCAAGAAGGCGAGAAGAGTAGACATAAAAGAAGCATTGATTTCTATTGCTTTTTCATTTCGCTTTTTTTTCCCAAATTCTGTCTTCTTAACCCAATTTTCATATCAAAGCATGCTGCCCACTACTGACAAAACAAATTTATTTCCTTTCTCTCCTTGAATTCATTGAGTTACGCGCAATGGTCATTTTATCAATAAGCAAAAATCTTTGACATTAAATTATCATCTGATTACTTCTTGTTGTAAAGAAGTATCTTTTGATTGTTTTGAAAAATTTTTTGTCTCAATTCGTTACTGCAATCACTGAAATTGATTCTTCGGTAATATTATATGAAAAAATATTTTATATTTTTTCTTTATAAGAAAATTTTTATTGATGAAATATATTAGTTTAGCTATTGGCATTTAATAAATGCTTAAAGTTAAATTTTATTTACATAACTATCGATAAATTGAAAACTTTAGTCAATCTCTTTTACACGATAAAAATTCAAAAGTAATGCTTATTATTGATTCACAAATCATTCAAAATTAAATCAAATTGAATAGATGTAGTCATTCATAGTAGAACAAATAAAATTCACTTATTTATTTCAAGCTTTAATCTTAAACAAGCTATAAACCAGAATTTTTTGACTAAGTAACCCGAAATATTCTGAAATACATTTTTGTCAAAATAAGCTGTTTTTTCTTATCTGATCCAACAACATTACTATGAGAGAATCAGTTTTGCTATGTGTTATAACGTAAAATTCTATATTGACGCAGTAGCGATATCAATTGTTTTCACTCTTATCTTTCTATAGGTAAAATAATACAGTATAAAATTGGTTATAAGAATGTGGTTTTGAATCATAGATAAAATACAAGCAAATTAACTCATTTGTAACATTATGCGTTATTAGCAGTGATAATTTTTACACTTTATAAATAGAGCCAATTTCGCAAATGAATATATTTGCAGCCGAAATTAGTTAAAAATTAGTTATTCTTTGATCTTGATGTATTTCATTTTTTGTATGCATAC